AAATAATTTGTAAGAAGTTAGGGCTCTGCTGGAACGTGCATGCAAGCACCCCCCCCCCCCCCATTTATTATATATGATTTGCGATATATGATTCACGTTACTGCATACTGAGGGCTATTATGGCGCGATGATTGTTTTATTCATCTTAAAGCACGTCTGCTTATGTCACACAAGCACTCGTCGAGCGCGAACGCCATTAAACATAGGGCAGCTCGCAATTTCAACCATTCATTTAATGGGATTCGGACTTCCGGTTAGGCAAAACATGAGGGAGGAACCACCTCCCTTTTTTCTTCATTCTTGACAGTTCCGGTTTGACGTCCGACAATCTTTGTCGGATTTGAGCGGGGCCTTAGTAGCTTGAAAAGTTTCTCTCTCCGTGAATCAAAGATTGAATACTGTGCGGGAGACTTTTGTAGAAGTGAAGCACCAGGTCGTCGTCATTGCGCAGGTCGTTCCACTCTCGCTGGACGGCTTCCCAGAGTTCGTTTGGAGATGCTCTGTGAATCTCTAGAGTGGTCAGTTTCGACGTTTTGATGCCCAAGATGTTTTTGACGATATTGACTTCAGCGCCTTTGGGAGGCCATGGCAGCTCCAGTATGCTCCGTTCAGCAAGAAGCGTTTTGGTGGAACGGGAGGTCTTCATGGGACTGAGGTCGTGTTGAAACCAAACGTCTCCCTCCGAAAAGGGCCCATCTACGACGTAGGGGATCAAGACGTGGTCAATTATGTCCGAGTAAACTTCCGACGTCAGGCGCCCGTCGATCCTGAAGATGGGGCCAAGTCCTTGGCACGTTACGGCACCCCAGACATTCACGCACCTACGACCACTGGGGGCCACTTCCTGGATAAAGTGAGGGTCGTATCTGCAAGGCAATGGAAGCGTTGTTGTTTCTTTTATTCACCGCTGAACTTGGCTATCATTACTTAAGGTAAGGCTAATATTTGTTTGTAGTTTTCAGGCTTTAGCGGCGGGCGGGAAGCTTATAGCTTACCACTGATGATTTCTCAGAAAGTCTTGGTCACTAATGGCTTTGGACGTTGCAAGAGGAAAAATGAATCTATACAGTCTATTAGATTAAGGGGCTGATAAAGCTTACCGGAAGTTGTCAGGCCTCAAAACTCGCCTCTGCTGGTCTAACGGGGTGCAGAACGTAGGCTCGTCGCTGAAGATGACGTGGGTCAAGTCCTCCACAGTCCAATTCTGAAGAGAATGGGCGAAGACAAGCCGCAGCTGCTTGTGCCTTTCCGTCAGCAGCGGCGACTGGCAAGCTACATAGCTGTGTAGGGCCAGCATCGTAGAGGAGTCTCCGAACAGTATTGTCGCGGATCTCGAGTTCCAGTGCGTCCCTAATATCCCTGGCAGCGCGGAAAGGGTCGCCCAAGGCTGCCTCGAGTATGTGACAATCCTTTGTTGCTGTGGTTGCGCGGGGACGGCGACGGGGGGGGGGGGGGGGGGGGGGCATTGTCCAAGCGTCCATTGTCATCCCGAAATGCTGCAATAATCCTTTGGGCGTTTTTGACGGGCCTTCCAACTCTGCGCGATATTTCCCACCGTGAAAGTCCTTCCAGAGCAACGAGAACGATCTAGACGCGCTCATCCCTTGGACCTCGGGGCGGAATTTCTGCTCAAGCGCTCGAAGACGAACAGTGAACTGAAAAATAAAGGTTTGATAGGTGAACTTGTGCCAAAAGAAATAAGTAAAGAAAGAGCGTCGAGGCAGCAAAAAAACAGGCGGCGATTCGGCGGCGTAACAGACAGCGAGAGCGAGACTGACTCGACAAGGTCGCAGGCAGCTGCTTATCTACAGTGCCTCACTATCTCGAAAGTTCGGCAAAGAAAGTTCGAGCGTCGCGCGCTCCGGGCAAGGATGACCTGGCACTTTCGAGAGGAAGAAAGCAGGGGGAAAGTTGCGTCTGGTGCGAGAATGAACGCGAATCTTCTAGAAACCCGTGACTGAGCGTTGCTTGCTTGGCCCTGCGGGCGGCAATATTTATTACGGAATCGCAGCCCATTTCACATTCGTTGCAGTTATTAGCACTGATCTCTACTATAAGGGGCTGGATGGCGCTTAGCTGCACTCCGAGCCTGGCGCAAGTGAAGCCACCGGAAGTTCGATGCTTGTCCCGGAAGTCGGGAGTGCGCTGGGCTTCCTAGTACATTCTGTCGATATTTATGACCATGCTTTTTTGTGTCTTTGATTGGGTTTTAATACTCCCGTTCTGGGTTAAATCCCGAGGTTGAGGCATTTGAACTTGGGACATGTTCACAACTTGATCAATTAGAATCTCAAAATGTTTACATTGAATGGCTTTCCTTAATACATCTCGGGTCCGTATGCGCTCTTACTGCGGAACAAGCAGAATCTCTTGAGGGAAGAAGCGAAAATTCAGCGCCCTCGACACTTTTCGAACCAGCACTCGGAAGGGATACAAAGCCTGCCAAGCGCTCACTTCCGGGACAAGCCGCTCACTTCCGGTGGCTTCATACCTGTTTGCTCAATGCGCCATCCAGCCCCCTCTATTGGAGATCAGTGGTTATTAGCGATCGCTCATGAATGAAGAAAGCGGTTGAGTCACGTATAAAGCATGCCAAACAACGTCCGCTCTAGTTCACGTGCAATGTGGAAATCATTTGCCGGCAATGACGTGGGCACGGCGACCACAAAAAGTGATGCCGAAATTGAAACCCACTTTCACGCTTTCAGCAGGGAGTAGCAGCAGAGCTCAGAACAGCGCTCGATCCAGGAACTTACCCTCGGTGAAGCGCGCGATAAGGAAGCGGGCCGCCACGGCAGCCGCGTCTTGGCGCTGATAGCACGGACCGGTCAACGGTCCGGCGTTCACCTCCATTTCGTCTGCGGGTGTACATAAGCATAAGTTGATGGTGCACTTATGAAGTTCGTTGGAACCAACTTACCATATAAAATTATATCTACAGTGTTTACTTCTTTTAAACATGATACATGTATTCAGTACAGGAGCTTTCGGTCAGCACGTGCGCATATTCTCGAGTGCATAACATCTTCCGACACAGGCACTTCTACATGCCACCTGTGCTGTGTCAACATAAAACCACAACGTTTGCGGCGCTTGGAATGAGCACCACACACGTCGTCGAGCTGTTGGTGCTATGAAAACGAGCTTTGCGATTTGTGATCATTTCACCTACCTGCCCGCTTTATTTTGGTCGGGTGACGACGTGAATAGAAAAGTTGTGAAGTCGAAACCAATTTGAACAACGACACAAGATCTCAACATTTTGTGTCGTTTTGTCCGTTCTTTCATTTCTACGCACCTCAGATTTTATCTGAACAAGCCTATTTTATTAAATTAAGTTTTTATATTTAATTTTTCAATTTTTACTTTAGTTTATAAGATTGTTTTGTTAAAAAAGTTACAAAGGTCAATAATGTGGTCTGGCTACTCTGACAACGCTCCACAACTATCCGAACCTATCCGAAATACACCGAGGTTCGGCCGCTCTTCGGAAACTTTCCGAAAGCTCTGAAGTGAGGTCAATAACTAGACACTACAAGTCACACAAAGCCAAAGAAAAAGAAAGAGTCAATAGCTACGAAACAAACACTTTTTTTTTTTCAAAGATCCGCAGATGCTTCCTTGCAAATGTCAGGCATGACGCACAAACAAAACAGATGACGCGATTGGCTGGAGGCAGCGTGTTATAAAAGAAAGTTCAGATCGTCAATGGTTAAACTATCCTTGAAGTGCCGGGGTTCATGAGGGTGCGACGACGTTTGTACGGAAAATTTCTAGATATATCACAAGTAAGGTAAGCTGCTTTATGTATATTTGCTCAAAATTGCTAAAATATTTGTAGACAAATTTTACTTTTCATTTTTCTTAATGACAACTCTTCAGTACCGAAAAAATAGCTTTCGGGTACAGAGCGCGGTTAAAGTATCCACCATACTCTAAAAAATGCCCGTGCGTATGCTTTCCCGCACAAGATTTGGAGAGCCAATCACCGCAACGTACGGAGGCAGCTCAGCGAATGACAATGCCGAAACATATGTTTAGACGAAAAAACGCGGTCTGAGTTTTGACATTAAGCAATGCGAAACGTCACACTTGCAGTGCTTAATGTCACAATTCAGACTGCCTTTTTTGGTCTAAACATATGTATTGGCGTCGTCATTCGCTAAAATGCCTCCGTAAGTTGCGGTGATTGGCTCTCCGAGTGTTGTGCGGGAAAGCAGATTCACGTTTTTTTTTTTTTAGAGTGTAAGCGGGGGATATTTCAGTAAAACAACATCGTAAGCTTAGCTGATACAGACCTCCCAGCCTTAAGGGCGCTCTAATGATATTAAAGCTTCTGTCCGTTTTATGTTAAACACTCCCGGAAAAACAATAACAACGACAAAAAACAACAACACCGTGTTCTGTTTATGCGACGATTATTGCAGTATGATTTTTCCTCTTCGCGAAAAAAAACATTTTCGACTACTCTTATTTGCTTTTATCATCTAGAAAAGCATAAACATCTTTCAATGACAGCGTTTGCAATCTGGATGAAACGTCGCATTTTCGTTGGTTACATGTCGCCCGGGCTGGCGGAAGAATGCTCCTCCCTTGCCGGAAATGACATCGGTGCGTTCGATCTTTGATTGTTCTTTTAAGGAGGAGATCGGCCGCGCATCGTTATGATTTATGAATTTCTAGTATGCTTAGGGACCGCAGGGTTAGTTACTGCCATGTTAAGGTGATCTCAGAAACCTCCTCAGAGGACTTTTATTATGATGCTCGAGGATTTCGGTTAAAAGTAATATAAGAAAAAAAAAGGCAGAACAAATTAGATACAACACAAAGTTTCCATCTCTGGTTCGCGGTTCACATTACTAACTAACTGTATTTTCTGTATACCTTAATGCTTAGAGCACGCTCATTTATATTTCAGAACATTGGCTTTAAATATAACGTGGTCTGCTGAATTGCCCGATTATTGCTTTGGGTTACTCTAATTTCAAAAGTCAATAAATATGTGGCTTTGTAATGCTCAGAGCGCCGTTTTGGTGGCACTGATAATACTCGTTGAACTGTCTACACAAATTGCTGGGCAAGGTGAGTTTAAACATTTATATGTGTTTCTATTGTCATAATCATAGCGCCGAAGCCACACAGGGACTAACGCTTCGAGAATGGTAGCACCTCACTGGAAAACTAAAAGAGGTAAAAGAAGATCGCTCTACCTCTCTTCGTCCTCTAATGATATATTACCATCCTTGAATCGCGAGTGCCACTAAGAATACCTGGCACGCCTCACGGCATCTTCGCCATAAGTATGCCGAATAATTTCGAAGGTCTTTGAGATTTGCTGACTTTGACGCAGAACTAATGTTCGCTCTCAATCAGCTTTACAGTTCATGCAAAAATCGCCATTGTTCTTGCGCACGGGATCGTAAAAAACTCGCATGGCGCAGCTACAGTTCTTCACTAAGCGAAGACCTTTGAAATAATGATACATGAAGGTCTCGTTATTTCAATAAGCTACTGCCTTTGACAGCTGCGCGTATCACCGTGCTGCCTTTTAATGGGACAGCATTATTAATGTACTACTCCAGATGTTCAGCTATATGGGTATCTCATTTCCTGGCCATCTTTTCAGTTTTCCCGCTAAATATGGCGAAAACATTCGCTTAATGACCTATGCAACAATTCAGTTTCCCCACTAAATTTGGCGGGCAAATTGACGTCCCGACTTGTGCACAAATTCAGTTCCCCCCAAATTCGCCAGGAGAATGGATCTCACTACCTATGCACCAATTCAGTTTCCCCGCTACATTAGGCGGGAAATTCACGTCACGTGTCCTATGCACCAATTTAATTTCCCCCTCACCTGCCTGTCTGTGCACGATAAATGCTATTACATTCATAAATATTCATCCCTGTGGTTTCCACATTTTTTTTTTACGCTGCCAATCTAGTCCCGCAATTTTCGAATTGCACCTTGTGAAGCATCAGGTTTTCAACAAACGTTTCATACGCGTCGGCAAAAGATCACCGTAAAGTAATGCGAAAGCGCCACCTTGGTTCAAGTGCCCAGGGTTATGATTTTTCAAACTTGGGAATTCTGCAAAATTATACGTTGAGCGTTCGACCTGACCGGACAAGCTCCCATGTCTAGATTAATCCAGTTTTCAGTGTAAGTGGGGTGCACGTTCCCCCGGTGAGTAACGGTAAGTGTAAATGAACTGTAAACTATCGACCAATAAAAAAGGCTACTGACTGCATCTGCTCATCATAACTACATATATAAATAAACACGATCTGTAGCTAAAACAAAAGCATTCACTGAAATTTCTTTCTTGTAACATCACCCTTTCAGATACCCGAAGGCGTTTGCATTAGCCAGGTTTAGGTAACACTAAAGGCGCGTTCACACCGGCGATGTAAAGCAGTCGCGCGATATAGATCGCGGCGCAAAAAAAAAAAAAAAAAAAAAAAAAAGATGGTTACATTGGCGCTTGCGATGAGCGAGTTGCTTATGGTTGTTTTTCGAAAACTCTCGCTCCGAACGCCGCTAATTGGCTCAGCCGCTCCGCGACTAGGTGGCATCGCGAAAATTCGAATCAACTATAGTTTGTTGCGAGAAAAGATCAGCAGTAGAGGCTCGGCCTCCTGCATGCGCTCGTTGCCTTTCGGCGTGTTTTGCTTCACGTGCACCAATGTGTTATCAAGGGTAGAAAGCTCGCTCCGGAGGCGGAGCATCTACTGCTGATGTTATATTGCAACAGGCTACAGCAAATGCTGGAATCACGTCGCTTTTTTTCCCACGATGGCCGGTTTGGCGATGAAGGTTATCGCCCGACTAGGTCGCATCGCCGGTGTGAACGCGACTTAAACGCTATGTGCTGCAGGTGAGCGCCAGGCTGCTGTAGATATATAGGCTAGCCTAAGATTAGTTGATCTAATGACTGTTCCCACCAACAGGTAATATTTTAAAACAATATGACTTTTCCTTACATCCAGGTCAGCAAGGGGTGTGTTTCACGTTTCTGTAGTCGCACATATAGACACAATTTAAAGCTACGGCTATCGTCTTTAATTTGAGAAAATATCCCCATTAGGGAAACATTCTTAATGCCTTAGCATCGGAACGCTCGTCTTGACGAAAATCCGCTGATGTCTGTCAGTTTGTCAGCACCGGGGAGAGAGGAAGAAGGCGGGGGAAAGAGCGACGCGTGCAACGCTCCTATTGGTCCGAAGCGCTGGCGTCAGCACTCGTCATCCTCTCCCTCACTCCCCGGCGCTGACAAACTAAGAGACGCCGCCGGGTTTTCCATGCAACGTGCGTCTTCGTTTTCGTGAAAGGAACGCAGTACACAGCTGGCGCGGAGCCAGAGAGGATGAGACGCCGCGGCGCGATGGAATGCGGGCGTGCTCAGTAGCCGCTATGTTGTCGCCGGGTGTTTTTCGCTCTAGGCCTCCGCAATAGCGATGAGTGGGCTGTGATGTGTGTGTGTAGTTAAAACGATAGATGCGGTTACATCCGCGAGCGATATGGATCCGGTTCCTTCCATGAGAGATATGGATATGGTCCTTTGAACGAGTGATATTGATGACAAGTGCTGATTGTTGGGCGAGTTGGTATTGTGCGGGAGAAAACATGATTGCGCTTTAAGACAGGGACAGAGGAAGAACAGACACCACAGAGCGCTAAATTTCAACTCATTCAATCCAAGAGCCTGAGCGCAGATACCCACTGCGTCACCGCACCACATCTCAACCAATCTGTGGCCTTGCCACGGACTGCGGGTGCATGCCATTATTTGCTTCTTCCACTGTTCTCGCTAGGCACAAGGATAAGACTGTTAGAGAGATAATTGAGGCGGACGCCATCAATAGTTCCGGCACGTGTTGTATCAGCGTGGCTTCAACTGACCTGGCAGGAAAAGAGATAGTGTACTTGCGCTCCGTGGATGGGGCCGCGGATTGGTTGAGGTGTGGTGCGGTGACACAGCGTGTATTTACGCTGAGGCTCTTGGATTAAATCAGTTGAAAGTTAGCGCTCTGTGGTGACTGTTCTTCCTCTGTCCTTGTCTTAAAGCGCAATCATATTTTCTCATGATATGGATGACATATCCAAGGGCGTCGACGTACTCTGACTGGCAAAGCACAGAAAAGGGGTACCACACATCCCCTTTGGGAAACGCTAACACTGACCCTATAACGAGGCCAAAAAGAGAGAGCAAAACATGGAGGAAAAAAAAAAAAAGAGAAAGCCAAAACGGAAAAATGAAGGGTTCAGCGTTAGCGTTTCCCAAAGGGGGACGTGAATACCGTTTTCCAAGGTTCATGCTAAGGCATTCCCTTAGAATCCACCAATGGATGTTCCTTCAATTTCTTTTTTCTTTTTAATATAAAGGTATGAACGGTACATCTGTTACCATTTTTCTATTTACATACTAAGACATCATCACTAAAATAAAAATAAGAATAAAAACTCGTAATTTGTCGTTTTTCACCACGTCATATCTGACAGTGTTACATACCGCGTGTCTAATATTTTCAAGAATTGGTTTCGTGTTTTTGGTTTATGCATCGGACTACTGAAACTAATAAATTACGGATCATAATGCGACTCAGTCTGGTCACTTACGCGGATTTTAGTGAAATTAGTGGTGTGTAGTGTAAATACTTCATAACATGGAATGTCTGTAAGGTTTATTTGTGTTTATTACAGCTCTACCGAAGTTTGAAGGATCCTTCTATGCATCTGGGGAAATATTTCGAAGTACCTTCGAAGTAGCTACTTCGGAAGTAATTCCTCCGAAAGCGGGTTCTTCGGAAGCAGATTCTTCAGACGCAGATTCTTCGGAACCAGATTCCTCGGAAGAAGAAGTGGAAGTTAAATTGAAAGAAACCAACACCTTTGAGGAGGCATACGATGCAGTCGGACGCAAGGCCGCCCTTCGCATTACCTTGGATAATGAGGTTATCGTATTTTTCGAAGATTTGTATACGAAGCATAGATTCGTGATTCATACTACAGGTGAGTGGAATTCTATTACGAAACTTTAGCCTAAATGAAATTAACAACAAAAAAAAAAACAGAAAAAACGTTATTATATAGTTTCACCTGGCTCCAGTGTAGTGTACTGCTCACTTTGTCGTTAACATATGGTGTCGCATAATTAAGTTACTTTTGATGAGCGCGTAGTGGTTTTTCACAGAGACGTAACTGAGGCGTAGTTAAAAATTTTATTTAGCGTGACTATGTAGGGGACGTGTAAAATATATTCCTTTACTTGAAATTTTCATTCTTTAACTCGAAAAAGTACAACGTAGACTCTAACCAATTTCTTCAATGTGCCCGACGTTTCGAAGCCAGCTCGACTCCTTGTTCACGGGTGACTGTATATGGGCGCAAATGTAGCAACCTGTCGTCGTTTTCTTCTCTTCTCTCTTAGCTTTGTTTCCTTCTTCTGTTTCTGTGTGTGGCGCATTTTAGTCCGTGTATATAGCTGCTTGGAAGCGTTCCGGTGAATCGGTTCAGGTTGTTGCTTGTATTTTGTATGTGCCAAGATTCTATAAAGAGCCGCTTTCTCCAGTTTCTTTCTGTGTCGAGGATGGAGCTGCTGTCAAAGCCATTGGCGTGGCCGGTCTTCTGAGCATGTTCCGCCAGCGCGCTGCCTTGGATGTCATTCTTGTTTGCGTCATACTTATGTCTACGCAGACGTTCGGGAAAGTTCTTCGTTTCCCCCACATAAGAGGCGTCGCATTCGGCACAAGGAATTTGGTAAATCAGGCCTTGAGCTTTTTCTTTTGGCGGACGATCCTTTGGAAGAGGAAGAAAATGGCCCAGAGTTGAGACAGGCTTATGCGTAACTGCAATGCCGTACGGTCTCAAAACGCGGGCTAGGACCTCGCTCGTGCCATGGAGGTACGGGACGCACATGCGGCTGGAGGTGTTTTTGTTCTTGGATGTAGGAGGGTGACGAAGTTGTTTGTATATTTTGTTGACAAATCTGTGGTCCGGTAGGGGGCGCCACCGCGGGTGCTTCCGGAGTATAAAAGCTTCGGGAGTACCATGGGACCTCAGTTGGTTTCGGTCCGAACGAGTCACCCCAGTGCCCCTACGGGTAGACTCGAATTCATAACTGGACCTACCCAGCCCGTCCTAGCAGTCATTGACGGTGTCCCTACCTACGCGGTGGTACAGGACTTAATACCTCAAAGAGACATGTTAAGTCAGGCGTTACAAGAGGTCGGACTGTTAAACCCCTTAGCGGTAACTCCGACCCCTTCCTCAGAAGACTCCTCGAGCACACAATCGAGTACATCCCTTGAGTCAGAGGACGATACGCTCGCTTTTGGAGCAGAACGTGTCCTCAGATGGTTAGAGTCACACGAAATTCCCCCCGATTCCGATGACTCAGCCACTGAACAGGAAGACAATGACGACTCAAGACGGGCAGCGTCCCGGCCCGCTGGCCCACCATACCAGCCAGTCCGTCAAAGCCTACCGCCACCTTCGGTTAACTGGGACCGCTTGGGTGACATTGTGGGATACTACCCCCCTGCGGACCCCGCTAACTTCAACATCAAGTGTGCCAAAAGCTTTGTGGTCAATAATACCCCTCCGAGGCAAGACCAGTTACCAGTTCTCCGTGACGCCGTGACGTCAATGTTAGCTTCTGGAGTTATTGAGACAACAACACGTGGACCATTCCTGAACCCGATACAAGTTGTCCCAAAGAATGAGACTGAGGGTAGATTCGTTCTTAACTGCTCCGCTCTGACTCCGCATTTGCAGGCTCCGCGCTTCCAGTTGCCCCCACTTCCAGTGGTACTACCAAGCTAACCCCCTCCCACACCAACCCTTCTTTACAAAATTGGATCTCGCTGAAACGTATAATCACTTCGGGTTATCGAGCTCTGCCCGAAGGCTTACAACTTTCAAACTTGACGGTACCTATTATAGGTTTACTGTGTTGTCCTTTGGGGTCCGCCCGGCACCTTTTGTGATACAGATGTTTGCAAATGCGTTAACTCGCTACCTCCGTGACCGTGGACTATGGGCATGGAGCCACCTAGACAATTTCCTGATGGCACACCCAGATCCAGTGTACCTGAGAACGGTCACTGCAGACTTCGCCCGTATCCTAACCGAAAACGGAGTTCGCATCAACCCGAAGGATACGATCCTCGAGCCTTGCCAGGAAATCAAATTTCTTGGATTTTTGTTTGACGGTCTAAAACAGACCATTGCCCATACTCCTTCAAGACTGAGAGATCTCGAGAAAACACTCGAAGTCCTAGAGACCATTCAGTCCCAGAGAACTTACCAGCGGATCGCAGGCCATTGGGCTTTCTATTTCTCGCTTTATCGAGGACATTATCATGCTCTTAAGCCAATGTTTTATGCCGCAACAACGGGAAACCCTGTCGATCCTAAATGCCGAAATGTTTACATTTAATTCATTAACTCAAGCACTACAGAGTGTTTCAAGATTTGTTTGCCTATCGAAAGCGGTATTTTTTTCTTTAAAAAATAGAAAGGGTAAAGGAAGTTATTATGTGTTGACGTGCGTCCGGATATCTGCGCTGTCGGATTAATTTGATAAATATGAAACAAAATTAAAGTGTCATTGCAGCTTCTATGTTCATGATAAGCAACGTTTCTAATAAGCTCCGCAGGGAATAATATTAAAAAGAAAAGTAATCGTTCAGCTTTCTTCGCAGACATGTAATTTGTTTCTTTTAAGCGAATGAAAAATAGCAATGTCCAATAGGTGCCAGGCTTGTGTAACCTCCGAGGGTAATGGCGAGCTTCTTGGAAAATTTGTCTCCAGGTGTTCTCAAGGGCACAAAAAAGTAACGTTCTAAAAAGTCACTGTTCGCTTTTGTGCATATTTTTGTACATATATATGTTTGTAGTGTGAAACAAATGCTGGGAAATTTTGTCAATACCATCTGGGTCCGTTTTCTCGAAGATGGTTAACTTTAACCACGGCAAAAAGTCAACAGCCCTTCCCTACTAAGTACCGACGAGTTCGACGAGGTCTGGACAAGCGATAGCTTCTTGTTTTATTATGGGGTGGTAGTTGATGTCACCCACTGGTTGTAGCGAATAAAAGTGACTTTCGTGAAAAAAAGTGAAATTCGTTTACAACTCCCTGTAACGCCGAATTGGAGCGCAGCTCTTGAGGAGGAGGAGGGAAGGGTACTGAGGGGAAGGTAGACCCCTCCTCCTCCTTTTCCTCCCTTTCTCCTCATTCTTTAATATGCTCCGGGGGGGTGACCTGACTTCGGGTGAGGGTATCACGTGACCTCGGGGGGGGGGGGGGGGGGTCACGTGACTTCGGGGGGGGGGGGAGGGGGGTCATGGGACCTCGGGGAGGGGGCCAGGTGACTTCGGGGGTCACGTGACTTTGGAGGTCACGTGACCTGTGGTGTCACGTGACTTTGGGGGTCACGTGACCTTGGGGTGACCTTGGTTACGCCGACGGCGACGGCGGCGCCGACGGCGACGGCGGCGCCGACGCCGCTCAAGCCGGAAGCGGGCGCCTAAGAGCTGCGCTCTAAAAAATTACTGAGGTTGCGGTTGTGGACTAAACCGTATGTATACGGAATTACATTCCGTATACTCACGGTTTGGCCCACAACCTCAAAAGAATAGACGGCAGATGAGATGTGGACGTGTTGTTCTCCGCTCCTGACCAACTGTCAAGGTTGTGCAGGGCTATCAATCCCTGTGTTATTCTCTAGTCCCACTTGAGCGACAAACAGAAACAGTCAACAGCGACAAGCCTCAAAGACATACAGCGTGCTTGCGATGGTACCATTATCAGGCGTGTGGTCGTTCTGTGCTCGTGAAGTAAGCACGAGGGATTGCAAGCCGGCCAAAGATACCCTCGCGTGCATGATGCTTATGTTTGAGCATAGCCTCCTTTATTTTACAAAGCCTGTCAAATCGAGAAAAACTCTGGTTTGAGTCTTGTCACTCTCGTTTGTTTGTGTTTGTCGCTCTAGTGGTACTCGGGAATTAGGGATGCTAGCATTTGCAAAAAAAAAAACATACGCTGATTTTTATGCATTAATCAGCACAATACCAAATAACTGGGTTACACATGCTATTCACGAATAACGTTGATGTGCGGCAAAGGGCGATTCTTTTCTGTTTAATAAAATACACATGCTTTGCAGATGGTCACACAACATGCAGACGTGCTGATAAAAAGGACTGGGAAGCTAACAAGTATCTGGTTACGGTACTTCGTGGACCCCACAAGAGAAAGTACACATTCTTGCGAGACATTTTCACCTTACAACGGAAAGCGAAAGTTAGGAGCAGGGTGATTGAACTCGTGCGGGACATGTACTGCAGGGTGTTTGATCTGAATATCACTGACCCCCAAGAACGATATATAAGACCCGTCGTTTACTGGACTTGTAAGTAGACAAAACATTTTCATTGACTCTGGGTCTCAAAAATGCGTTTACAAGAAGTGGGGCGGCGACGAGTCATTGAAGGGTTTTGGGAACTTAAGGCCAACGCAAGGCTGCGATATAAAAACGACAAAGAAGAAACGGCAGACAGAAGAAGACGTTCTTGTTACGACACTGAACTGCGTGAGCGCGAAGTCGGGGCAGGTAATAAGACTCGAGTGGCCGTGGGGGGACCCTACAATTTCAAGTTTAGTCTTTTCTGTCAGTGAATAACGAGGTGCCTTAGAGCATTCCGAAATAATGACGTGAAAAGCACTGATAAGATTTAAAATAACATATGCACATCAGAGCCATTTGATGCAAATAAGAATTAGCTGTAGCAAAGCACTTAGATCGTTAAATTGCGTAGCCGTTTTTTTTGTAAAATTCTTAAAATATTATATATTATTATTAAAATAAATATATTATTAAAATAAACTAGGCATCGCCGAACGCTCATTCTCCGCCCAAAGGTAAAGCTAGAGGTCACAACCAGATGCCAAAGTTTCAGCCGGATGCGATATCTTATTCAAAAGTTATAAGTGATTTTCTGAAAATTTCAATGGGAAAATGGAGCCCATTTTTGCCCGTTTTCGGTTTCTGGTGCCATAGAGCCCCACGTGTTTGAAAAATCCGTCGGCCGCCATTTTCCCATAGGAATTTTCAGAAAATCATTTATAACTTTGGATTAAGTTATCAGATCGGGCTGTAACTTTGGCATCTGGTTGTGACCTCTAGCGCTACCTTTGAGCAGAGAATGAGCGTTCGGCGATGCCTATATTTTATTTTTGCGGTAAAAAATACCGTGTAAATTTTTTTTTGTGACACCCTGTACATTCAAAGTTTGATTTCAGCAGCAGTGTTTAAAAGGCGAGAGATGATCCGGTTAAAAAGATTTTGAGTGAAAAATTTGTGATTAACACATGATAATCATAGCACTTTCTTCTTTATTACTTGTTTCTTATAATCAGAATATATGCTTTTCTCGCTTCCAAGTGAATGTAGGAGACATTTTAGGGAAAGCTGCATTTTAAGTTTTGCGACCACAATAGTTTTAAAACATACAAAACATAAATCACATATCTAAGATAACCACCATGCGATCATGCATGCCATCTTTACCCTTCTCCCCCCCCCCCCCCCCCCCCCCCCTTCGCTCCCCGCCCAAACCCAATAATCACAAAATAGAAAAAAAAAATTGATTGAGAACAGAGTTACAAATAAGTCCAAAGGGCTTATTTATTTATTTATTTATTTGTTTATTTATTTATCCATTTATTTATTTATATATTTATTTATTTATCCACTTATTTATTTATTTGTGCATTTATTAGAGTAGATCGCCTCTTGATGCATTAAAATAGGAAGGGCCACATTCCCAAAATAGATTAATTGAACATTACGTTAAACACATAAAAATGATCAGAGATCACAAAATGATGTTAGGAGTAGTAATATTACAATAGTCGAAAAATAGCTGAAACATTCACCTGCACCTTAAAAGGAACAGCTTGCACAATGTTGTTTAAACCAACGTGTAGCCGATTCCAGTCCCAAATAGACCTTTGTAATAAAATAACATCTGTAGACGTCAGTTCGGCATTCCCCAACTTTCAGGCAGTTCCGCCCGAAAGCTGGGGTATGTCGCCAACTGTCGCCAATGAAAAAATCATCTTCATAGACATTTCAATAATAGCGTGTTTTTTCGACATCAGTCTCCGGCCTTACGCAGCGCAGCAATGACATGCTCCCTGTTTAACCTTCTTTAAGACTGCCGGACCAGCTGTCGTAGTGTGGAAATAATACGTTCTATGACGTCGGTATCCGCTGGTGGTTTCAGGTCTCTGCAGAATACAAAGTAGTGCAGGGTAAACAAGCTGGTCGGTTTATGGACGCTTGGTCGGTACGCCATCGTAATTGAAGGGAAGAGCGGATCTCAATGTCAAGTTAACGACATTGATGCTTTGCATAAACGATGGCCTCCTATTAAATTTATTTTTTTAAACTTTACGTTAACCTCTAGCACTCCTCTCGAGTTCTTGTCACGTTGTCGTTAGCAATTTTCTTGGTATTGGCAGTATTAAGAAGCATAGTAAGTTGCTCCACCGAGTTCAGAAGCAAAAATGCATGATCGGGAAAGTATCCAGTTTTTTGTCTACATTGTATCAGTGCATCCGCCGGGAACATTCTGAATGCCGATAAACAAGACCGCGTAAGCTTCGTTTCGTCTTAACACCAAATAGTTTGCTGTGTGTGTGTGAAAATAAATTATGTGGCGATGCCCCTTTATGTAACCGGCCACTCTAATAAGATCCAGTTTTTTGTCTACATTGTATCAGTGCATCCGCCGGGAACATTCTGAATGCCGATAAACAAGACCGCGTAAGCTTCGTCTCGTCTCAACACCAAATAGTTTGCTGTGTCTGTGTGAAAATAAATTATGTGGCGATGCCCCTTTATGTAACCGGCCACTCTAATAAGAGGCGCAGTAAGTTACAAAAAAAAATCAAGTAAGACGAGTATCACTGCATCCGCTATAGAAAAAAAGAAGATTCATTGGGATAGACTTTAGCCAGAGTTTGATCCAGATGCGTGCGTCACGTGCAACTCTCCCACTGAACACCTCTTTTGTTCCCGCCGTCGGCAGTCACTCAGTAATGAGCAAAGACTGCAACTGCGATCAAATTCCAAGTTTGATAACTGTGGCGTTAATTAATGGCTAAAAGCAACAGGCCAAAGTAAAAAAAAAATATTCAAGAGTTGCACGGATTACACAAGCATACACTGGAAGAGAAAAGCAATATTTTGAACGAACAAAAAAGAAATATACACAAAAACATCGAATATAGCTTGTAGGCTGAGAATTTACAGTGCAATACAGGGGGTGAGTGTTGTGGGGCTAAAAATATATTAAAATCTCAGTTTTTTCTTCAAGTTGCAATTAAAGATTGCAGGTTTTACATCGTAGAATGTGCAAAAAAAAATATGCAGCCACGAAATATTTTGGCTTATCACATGAATGCCCTCGTGACCCAGAAAACGCCTTGAAAGGTACTTAGAAAGAAGTGCTATTTTATTTTGAGATCGGAAAACTGCATGTTAATGAAGGAATGACGGTTTATAATAAAAAATACATCAATATTTTTCTTTAGAAATTGTAGCTTTCGGTAATTTCTGTCAAAGCTACTCGTAAATGACCACACCTTCTTAATGGATACCGTGCAATATATAATTTCCGGTCTATATATAAATAACGATTATCCTGAAGGCGCAGGAGATTTCATTCTACGTAACTGAAACAAACGTTTACATGTTTTAACGGAAGAAGGTTGTAACAATTAAGAAAAAATAAACATCAGTTTTTTTTTAAACTTGATATATTTGGAAGTTTTATGTAATAATAAAACGGGCTTGAAATGCAGTTTCATTTCTAGGCGTGAATATAAAAAGCCCATTTTCGGCAACAGGTTTAAGAACCGAGTAGGAGCACCACCTCCATCTCGCGCTCGCTGCGTTCTCCGGGGCTTTGACTGCGCGTGCGACGAAGTGATATCGAAGGAAGGAAGCTTCTTCAGGTGGCGGAGCCTCTACTGGGTTCTACTGGGTTCGGGGAAGCTAGAAGCTGAGACATGACACAACCCCGAGACTGCGGGAAGTAAAGACGACACACACGTACAAATATCTCTAATACAATTGTGTTAAAGACTTCGTGTGTGTGTGTGTGTGTCATTCATTTCCTACAGTCTTAGGGCTGTGTTATATCTAAACATCACCAACTCCTTTGCGCTTTTACTTTCTGTTCTAAAGACTCACGGAGAAAAGCTTGCCTCATTTCCGATGGGACCGAAAAAATGTTCACTCTGGACCTAATCCGTCTAATACTTGACGGCAGACACATGTTCGCATTGCTCCCGTTAGACACAGTTGAAAGGTTTACCTTTGGTGCATAGTGATAGTAACCAGCATAAAAGATGCCGAATGTTTATATAGTCTTTGACGATTTTGTTTGTTTATTGGGATGGTGATTTTATCTGACCTGGACGCATTATACATTCTGGGATCTTGGAAGCTGCCGTTTGGTTTGAAAATGTGTGCCAGTTCAAGTCCACATTGTTTTTCTTGAAGCATGGAATGTTCCTCAACGGAACCCTCCACTCCTAGGCATTTATACTTCAATTCGTTCACACGTGCATTTCACTGCTAAATCTCAATAGAAAGTGACGTCACGTGACTTCATGTTGTCAGGTGGCTCCCCGACTGGACACCGTGAAACCACTTCATGTGACCGCGTCGCATTTCGTTATGTTCAGCGATGCCAATTTTTTTGTTAACTTTAAGGGCGGATAAATAGAAAAAAGAAATACTTTTCACTTCCCGGAAACGATTGTTTCATGTATTGAAAACAGGTTTAAGCCATTTCTTTTTAAAAGCTGCATTGCATGCATTATCGAGCTGCGAGGATAAAGGTCGCTGGTACCCTTATACATGTACGCGGCAAGTGCGACCACGGATGTGACCCGTGCGCCAATCAGCCATTGGAGAATATAAAGACGGACCACTGAATTGGGATATTATGCTAAGCTAAAGTAATCAAGTAGGCCATGTGATTTGCCTTTTTGATGGATGCCGGTAACCGAGGGAGATAAAAGAACCACACGCACACAGGCACACACACGCACACACAAACACACACACACAGGTAAAATATACTTTTTTCGATTTGCCCCGCTTCTTTGTTAATTCCGTCAGTCTTTTGCATCGATCGACAATATTTAAGAACACGGTGTTTATTGTATTCCTAGAAATCTCGCCAATGAAACTTTCGAGCATTTCCGCAGGAATAATTGTTGATTGCTGTACGAAACACGAAATGTCTCATTAGTGAAGGGCCCGCCAAATAACATTCTAATAGAACCTGCACAAAGTTTCCATCCTGTTTTTCTTACAGCAAACAACAATTATGGTTGCGCAAATCCGCAAGATTTCAACTCCCACAGAAACAGAATGTAGCATAAACTGGAATCGCATAGGTCTCCTGACATCCTCATGTGTTCATGACTCCAATGCTTGAAGGCGTTTAGTGGAAAGGGCGTGATGGGGCAGCACTTCGCCAAGGCCTGATCCTAGTGTCAGCTGGTAAACAATTAGGTTGAACATGCTTAGCAATTCACAAATGAGCTTTTCTGTTTTAATGGTTTTACTGTGAACTTATCGCCCGTGAGTATTTCACCCATGATCATACTTTCTTCCGCCGCCCAGAATGATTACACTTGGTTGTATGGCTTCGTCGGAGATATAAGATTATTGATCTTTACTTTCGGTATTGGCCAGCGTTTGCATTAGTTACCCTATAATATAACGCTCTGTGTAGAAATGTAACGTATTTATATTTTTGTTTTATCAAAAGTGAATGAAACAGTCCCAGATGACCCATATGCTGTCCCAGTTACTGCTACTCCACCTCCACAAGCATCAAGACCTCCATCCGGAATCACAAGTAAGAGCCCTATCATAGCGAGCTTGTTTTCGTTTACGCAGTTTTACCGTCCTCACTAGATTAGAAGTTTCTAGTAGTGAGTTTACTTATAGACACGAAGATGTCAATCAGCATTGATCAAGGGACTTGTCGCTACCTCATGGAGAGAGGATGCACCAGTAAATTGTAATTTTAATCTATTACATTTTTTCAAGTAGCGGGCACAAGCATGCATGCCAACTCCATCCCCCCTGCCTCCCCCCCCCCCCCCCCCCCCCCCCCCTTTTCCCCCAGACCCCAAACCCGAAAATCACAAGATAGAAAATAAAGAAAGAAATTGTTGGGGAACAGTCAATATTTTCCGGAGAGCTTATTTGTTTATTTATTAAAGCAGATCGCCTTTAGAGACATTTGAATAGGGAGGGGCACACACACACACACTCACACACATACACACACGCACGCATACAACACAAGTTATGCGTCCGCACATCTCAGGTCTAAGTTTGCTTCAAAATTCGACATCCATAACAGTGTCCCACAGGAATCCCAAAAGAACGCAAGATCCTCTTATGGTCAGCAATCCAATCACCTATTTTATGACTGAGTTCAGTCTTGATTTTCTTTTGCATATTTTAGGCTTACTTTAATGATTCTTTTTGAGATCAATACAGGATGCAGTGGCATAAATATGATTGGTGTTTGTAAGTACTAAGCATGTTTAAAAGGCGGGTCAGTTAGCTGCACCACTCTAATGGTTTGTTCTTCTGTATGCCACATTGAGATGTAGTCGGCGTACACAAGTGTCTGCTTTTATTCTGAGTTGTATATTGGCATTCTTACTTGTAAATACAGAGGCGTCCATCATGGATTCTGGGTTGTATATTTCAATCAATATTTTGTAGGCAGGTGCAATAATATCATATAAATGTGTTTATGACTATGATAAAATATATTTTCAGTTTTTGTTATACATATGTATACGTCTCCCGGCCTTTTACGAATAAAGTCCGGAGACCCATTATCTGTACAGTGGTTTTTGAGCTCAGAACTGGTTATAAATAAACAAAGAGGGCATCTCAAAGACACTGCGATTCCATTTTTACTGACATTAACCGCAAAAATTAAGATAGATTTAATTTTAATTCGTAGCCCCACCGACTGCTTTCGGTTAACCATGAAGTTTTTAACTTTTAATACACCCTTTTAAGTGGACTATACATCTACAGGAGCTGAGCTGTTTTTAGTTTGAGTATCTCCTAATAGACCCTTTTCAAAATTCAGTGGCATCTCGTGGCTCAAAAAGCACGGTCACCTAGGACAAACTAAAGGCTGCATTTCATCGGGCGCCGTGACTTTTGCATGCCAATGGCGGATAAGAATAGCTTCTTCGATTAGCTCATTATTCTTGATTTTTTTCCTTTTTGATAGTTTGAGCATAAGAACTCCCCTACACAAAGCATCTAGCCGCAAGCCCCTTGATCGAATTGATTGGATTCAGCAATCAAAAGGCTTGAGTGCTAAACTTGTGCTAATAAATTGATGGGACAACGCCCTGAAATAAACGCTTACGCAGCCCTTGTATAAAATTCGTGCGTCGCGTTGTACTGATATCTCCAACGTAAAGGCCTTATAGATCTTCCGCTTGCTAGTGTCTTCAACTTCTTCCCTCATCAGTCTGAAGAAAGCAGGATTAGCTTGGTGGAAATGTCGTACACTGAGATAATAATAGTGATCAAAGTGGACCTACTTTTTTTTTTTTTTGGAAAGGGTCTATTGTGATTGACCAAAAGTTTCAAAAACTGGCCTAGAGATGACTACAAAAAGGTGAGCCATTAAAGTTGCATACATTCTGCATTTGCTGCAGGCACAAATCCATTAAAGGGTATTTGAGGAAGCTGACGAAGGTAAACAAAAAGGGCAATGGAATAGAAAATAATCGCTCAGTGGATGCAGCAATTATAAATACATCACTTAATGTAGGCCTGATGTCAGCACAACAGCTGTAATGTTTTTAGGGCGGAAGGAATTCGTATTAAGATAAAAACGGTAAAAGAGTTCGAGGCGAAGGGACACGCAGTGACCGCACGACTGCTGTGTTCGTCTACGTATCCAACGAGGAAAGAAAGTGAAAAACAACCGAGATAAATATTCCGATCATGTTTTTTTTTGTTTTTTTTTGAAGTAGAATGTATTATAGCTTACATTTGAATAGACTTAGCGCTTTCCTGTACTAGTCATGCTCCTAAAAAAGAGCACCCGCGCATTAGTGTTGCGTGCCTTTACCGGGTTCCTAAACGTTTCTTAACATATGGCACTTTCCATCATTGTTGGGTGGGCTCTTGATATTTGGATTAACATCATCAAGAATCTATTTGTTTATGTAATTTCTTTTCGCTTGATACTGGCTAGCGTCGTATTTTTGCTCGCGCAGAGCAACGGCGAGGGCCCTTAACACCACTCAGATATACTGGTTGGCGCTTGTTTTTTTTCTTTTTTCTTTTATAACGCAGGCAGGTTTTTCACACCCGATTGACGGCTGATGCAAAGTTCAGAAGAGCTATGCAACGTAACAACTTCGTTTCGCACATGAATATAAAGACAGCGGTGTAAACTGCAAAGGTGAACGATCGCTTAATCTACGTTATATCCTCATTATCACGTGAACCTCACATTTAGAGGAACATTTTCAAGACGTAGACGAAAGTATAAAAGCGGGCTTTTGATTGCTAACCTGGAGGTGATGGCGAGTTTGACAGTCGTACTTGCTCGCTTTCCAAGAGATCGGGTTCGCACTGCGGGGAAGGTTTCTTTGAATTCGTTTGAATTAGTACCTACATGATAGCGAAAAGAGGAAGCCGTCCGTCGGCGGACAAAACTATGGAAAGGGAAGCGCGCCGCGCAGAGAGGAGGAGAGTAGTGAAGGACAAAGGCGAGAGAGAGGTGAGGTAGAAGGCAATGCGTGCGAGGGAAACCGGTATGCAGCGAAGGCAGAGGTTGGTTGTACTATTTCTCCACGGGGCGCGGTGCCGTCGGTGCCAAGAAGCGCTCCGATTGCAAGCCGAAACTTAAATACCCGTCAAAGTTTTGAGGTTTTTCAGAAAGCCGTAAAATACCGCGCGTGCCTTGTATCGTTCTGCAATTTAGTGATTTAGAGTTTTTCGTTGAAGTTCAGCAATATTTTAATTAAAACCATGCCCTTAAACTCAATATTTAAAAAAAGAAGTTATTGCGTGAAAATAATTAACAATTTAATTATCACGAACTTTAAAACTTTTCCTACATAAGCCCAATTGGCCTAGGACCAAAACGACACAAGCTTTTTTTTTTTCGGTGCGATGCGTAGTTTGCGCAATATCGAATTTGCCTACCTTTCGTGAAACACCCTGTATATATATACATACAGCCCAGCTTCCAACTTTGGTACAGGTTCTAAATATATTTTTTCTTTCATTTTTCTTTTTTAATTTTTGATTCATCGCGTAACTGGTGTGCTACTCGTTACATTTTGTTTTAATATATAGTATTCGTCACGCTTAGTTAATGTTTGGGACGAATAGCCCTAGGGAAAGAGTGTAATTAAATGCATACGTAAAGGACGAGCGTGTTGTTAAGAGTTCTGAGTAAGAGGAAGGGACAAGGGACGGACAACAACGACAACTTCCAATAGTTTTGCGATTGCAACTGTAGTGACACTTTCTAAACTTACTTTTTGTGTATAGCGTAGTACTCTTTTGAATAGAAAGAATGAAGCATTCAAAAGTAATTGCATGCGAATTTCAATTTATTATAGTAAGACGATAGTTTTTCCGCCAAGTTCTAATTATTTGTCCGCTTGATCACAAGATATCTTTCTTAAACACCAACCTTACTTTGAAGGTTACAGAGGAATCCGTCAAGGTTGTTGCTAAACACAAACTCGGGAATTCCTTTCTTGCTAACTGCAGATCTAAGATCGGCCATGAATATACCGAGTGTTAGGACACTTGCAGTTCCTTGGAGGGTGTACTACATAATTGAGGCGGCACCGTACACCACAGAAGCAATGACCATGAGAATATTCAACATAGACTACATCCGTCAGTCATCCGTAAACGACCTTCTGGAGGTAAGTGTTCTCGTTTATAATTTTAGCTTCCTGGCGATAAGAAAACACACGAAAAAACAGTATTCGTTAATTTTTTGCGTCAAAGCTGCATTAGGAGAGTATAGCTTCGGAAGTTACAATAAAAGGTGACTTAATTGTGGCAACCCTTTGAAGCTATTTTAAAAATGCTCATATTGATTTAAATATTAGATATTAAAATTTATTTTACCATTATTATTTCAAAATAATCTAGTTACTTCCGCCTTTAAATTTAGCGCAACTTGCACGCTCTAATCGAGTGGTGGCCGTTGAAGCGTTTTGTAAATCTTTTTCAATTTGGGGACTTCCCCTAAATCATTAACTTTAATTAGAAATATTGCTAATAAAGTCGTGCTCACAAAGTTACAAAATCTGAGCCTGTACCTAGGCTCAGATTGACCCTAGACCCTAGAGCGTTCTGACCCTAGAGCGTTCTGCAAGAATTTATTTATTATGATTCGCTTTCCTTGTTCACATTGATCGAGTGAAGGCAAGTTCAACAGGTGAGAAAATATAAGCTAGTGGTTCCGATGATATTTTTTTTCCTGAAAATTAATCAGCTCCAACAAGATTACATTCAACTGCTCAGTATACATGTTAAACCTCCATTTAACACGAACTAAACAATTTCTTTTTATTTTTGGTTGAAATCGAAAAAAAACACAACTTTAAGTGGTATAGATGAAATTCGTCATTAAAATACAGCACGCTCTAAACGTATTGTTTAAAGGCAACATTAGGTTTAAATATTATCCTAAATATAATTACACCTCTGTCACACGAGGGGCCCATTCCTTAAACAAAGGAAACGGCGACTTGACTTGCGGCACACAGCACGTAAGGGACTTTTTCGTTAAAATAAATTTTAAGATATATTTAGCTTGCGAACTTCCGTCTGAAGGTACTGCATGCAAGGAATTATTTATTTTAGGTGTGGAATAAAAAAAATACATTTGGTTGTTTTTAGCCTTGGGGCTAGGTTGGAGTCCATGGAGGCCACTAGAAAAAATACGAGACTGGTTTATTAATTTGCTAATTATTTAAAACGATTACTTTATCCTAAATTTATATTCTGGCAACATAATGTAGTTCGAAAATTGACACTCTTCCTCAATATGTCCACGCCGTGACGGGGAAGTTCGATTACAATACTCCTACGGAGTGCTTCGGGGCCGGAAATAACACATTTGTAGACGGCTTCAAGCCGCTACTAAGTGACCGAAGATCGGCTGTGTCTTCCTTCCCTTCGTCCGGCGCCTGCTCCGCAACCGACGTGCCACGCAACCGACGTCAGCAGTGCGACGCAAGCGCAGAGCGCAGGCATCGACGGCACGAGCGCTCTTTGCCTGCTTAGTTCCGATTTTAAGACATCTGTAGAGGAATTACATTTGTAGGCCATTAGCGCCAACAACGAATGTCTTTTTTATCAAAATGCCACCTCACGGCAATAGTATAAGGAGGTCGAGCATGAAGTCTCCAGCTACTTTACGCCTCAAAAAATAAAAATATAAAAAGTCAGTAAAAAAGGTTTGAGTAAGTTGTGGAAGAAGCTAACCAGTTGCACAGCTTTGCTAGTGACCCTCGTGGCCCCAAACGTAGACCCAGGGCTAAAAGAACCCTGATAGAAATTCTATATAAAAACAATTAGCTTCCCTTGTGTGCTCGTGCTGATATCAAATGCTACAACGAGGAGCCATTGCGTCTGGTTGGATCGAGCCTCGTTTGCACTCAGGCCCGTGCAGCGGGTGCTAAAAACCCATTGTCGTTCGCAAACTTTACAGTTACTGTTGTTGAGGCAAAACGAAATATTAACTTTAGTTCACGTCCACAGCCAGAACACATGAAAACAGATGTGAGACGAGTGAGGCAACTCAACATGATATAAACGTAAACCTTACGACACAGCCTGCGCTGTGTCGTAAGGTTACGTTTTTATCAACAAAAAAGGTGCTATACAACTACTACTGATCTAAATGTAGATGCGTGCTGTATGCAATTTCATACAGGTTTGAAAAAGTTATAAATAAAAAAAAGTTATCGTAATTTTTTTCACTTCAGGTTACCCTTTTCTTTTTGATATTCAGCCATTTCCCCTCCTTCGAATAAACGATCGCATGGCGAGTCAAAATGTCCGACGCGTCAAGAGATCCAATATTGGATCTCTTGACGCGTTGGATCTCTTGCTTTGGCTGACATGGAGTCAAGAGATCCACTATGGGTCAAAAAGTCTAACTCGTCAAAAGATCCAACGCGTCACAGATCCATGGCAAGTGAAGAGGTCCAACGAGTCAAGAGAGCCAACGAGTCAAGAGGTCCAATAGTGGATCTCTTGACTCGTTGGATCTCTTGACTCGTAGGACCTCTTGACTCTGAATCCCCGAAAGATGTACCTTCCTAATGCGAAGAGGGATGGGTGTGCGCAGTATAGGATGGGTACGTAACTATGGTTATGTGAGTTGAGTGACCCTAGCCTTTGCACCCATATACCCGTAAGGGAAACTAGACCTAGTCAAGGACTTTGGACCTAGTCAAACTTCCTATTCGAAGTCCTTTGTCGGGTGTCCTCCGCACAATTTTGTTCTATTGAAGTTCAAAGTTCAAAGCCCACTCTACCCACAGAAACTAATCTATTCCTCCTGCCGCTTGGTTAGCTCGAAGCGCTGAAGTAAGCATTCATCACCCGCGTGACTAACCCAGGTACGTTTAGTTTAAAGGGATACTAAACCGAAAATTCGAGCTCACGAAACAAGGCTGGACGGATAGGCGGGACGCTGCAAAACCCCATAACATCACTCATACAGCGATCTCTCTAACGGATCGCCGTATTTCTGGAAAAGGAGTGCGCGATTGAACACGGCCGATGAGGCCAACGAGACAAGTCACGTCACAATTGTCATTCCCTCTCTTCCTCAATACGTCCTGTCGAGGATTCCGAGTCAAGAGGTCCAACGAGTCAAGAGATCCATCGAGTCAAGCGATCCAATATTGGACCTCTTCACCCGTTGGATCTCTTGACTCGTTGAACCTCTTGACTTGCCATTTATCTCTTGTCGCGTTTGGTCTCTTGACGCGTTGGACTTCTTGACCCATATTAGATCTCGTGACTCGTGTCGGCCGAGTCAACTGATCCAATATTGGATCTCTTGATGCGTTGGACCTCTTAACTCGCCATGCGATTCATCATTCGAAGGAGGGGAGGGGGGCTGCCTATAAAAAATAAAAAAAGATACCGGACAAAAATAGTAGAGGACGGAAAGGCAAAAGAGCACGGACTAGGTGTCTTCATGTCCGCTTGGCGTCGGCCTCCTCAACCTTGACCCATGCGATGTTTTAATTAGCAATGCAGGTCTGCTGCACGTGTTACGTTTGGTCTCGGAAGGTCCAAGAATGGTTCAAAAGTTTCTTCTTCGCTTGATCGCGCCCTTCTTTTCCAAAAGTACGGCTATCCGTTTGAGAGATCGGTGTATGAGTAATATTTTGGAGTTCGTAGCGTTCCGTTACACACTTCTGCGACCTTATTTTGCAAAATCCATATTTCACTTCAGTATCCCTTTAAAGACTTCATCTATAGAGCTACATCTATTTGGAAACAATGAACTGCACTTATGCACAGATTGTCACATGCCACTATTATTCATACATAGAAAATAACCAAACGACTTTCATTAATAAAGAATTGTAATTAATTTATGGTTCATAGCCAACTAGCATTATAATCTGCATTTTCACGGTAGTTTCTTTCACCCAAGTTCCACTACTTCAAAGTAGTCGGTTGTAGTATCCGTATCAAAAGACTTCGCGACGGCAGACCTGGTAGCCTGTGTGTTTTATTAAAAGAAATGAAGTATGGAACCTTCAACCTGAGCCTGCTATTTCATCGGTTTCCGTTGAGAAAAAAATATTGAATATTTATACGCTTTTATTGGAAATATTTCGCCCCCAAAATCGTGTTTCTATCATTTTTATCACCATGTGCACTTTTGCGCACCCTCTAAGCAATGCTCGGTTAGAAAAATCTTAAACCAGTATATCGTTCCACTGTTTTCACTACGTATCTATCTGCGATAGATACGTAGTGTTTCCAAGTATTTCGAAGTAGTTAAATGTGTAGGCACCTTGGCGGCTCCCCAGCCCAGTTCCCCTACTACGGGGCACAGGGAGCCGCTGCCTGGACTCAAGCGTCGCGGGTGCTCGTTGGTTTTCTTTCTGTTAGTATTCTTCATCGTCCAGTCCTTGTTCTATTAAATGTAGTTTCTTGTTTTTGAAACCGCTTGCTCCGTGTTATTCTTCCGGGTCAGGTATGCACAGCAAGGCAAACTGACCACAAATGTAATGCTCCGTTAATGGCCTTTCCTTTGCTGTTGTGTTTGGTTTCACATTTGACGGTTTAATACATGTATATCCTTATTGTAGTCTTAAGAAAAGGTTTTTTTTTTTTTTTTTTTTTTTTAGAGTTATAAATGATGACCGGCAAACTAGCACCCGTATCAGTTACAGCACTAAGTCGACCAAAATAGACCACATAGAAGATACCTTATTTTATTAGAAACGACTAAAGTATGATAGAAAATGCTTTGCGTAATGCTATAATTAGGGTCTTTGTGCCTTTTACAATTTTAGATAACATTTTTGTCTTATATTTTACAGATTCCAGATAGAGTTTACTGTCCTGGGAATTACTTCAAAAGATGGCTTCCGCACCCCATATATAATAATATAAAAGTACTTCACTATTCGGCACAAGTATGGAATTCAAAGACGAAAAAATTCAGTGTTATTAAAGTAAGTAGTTGCCATGACCCAATTAGTATTTAGATCTCAATGCTTATATCTCATTTGAAATTTTATTGCCGTACTGGAAAATGTAGTGTCACGTTCTATAAAGGCATTTCACCTTGACAATGTTAGTTTGGCTTGTCTAGCAATATCAAAAAAGATGCCACACCCCCGAAAGTTGATTCCTTCCTAAGTTTGATTCGATTTGCCATTCTTTCAAAAACACCGAATGAAAGGCAACTTCTAGTGAGTGCAGAGTCCTGGCCAATAGTAACCTGGGCAGAAATAGCGTCACTCAGCCACCGTGGGAGAAAAGCGAGCGTTGCTGAGTAGGAAGGACAGTCATTTTTGGTTCATCGCCCTAGTTTCGCTGATCATAAAATCTAAAGCAAGCATTCTTTCTACTTTTTCTAACCGCACATTGAAAATTAGCTTACTCCCTATTTTCACCCGATTTGCTTTCAAGCTTAGGTTAGCTATCTCTCGTGATATTACGATAATGACATTAACTTGTGGGCACGGCGACTTTGCCAGGACAATGCGTCTAAAGAACCCCTTTGATTTTTGGTCCTCATACTGGTGGCGCATGCTGAATTTTGCATTCTCACAACTGGACGAGGGACAGTCAACGAACGCCCTGCGACGGAGCGGGATTGCGCACCGCTTTGGACCACGCCAGTACGCGCTGACAAAGCAACGACCGACGATTCCATGGGGGACAACTTTTTGCATCAACAACTTTGGCGAGCTTTATCGATAACATCATCACCGCCGTCGAAGGATGTAGAACAACGCCCAAACTTGGATCTCGGCAGTGGGCACCACGACTCTGCCAGGACTATGCGTCTAAAGAACCCTTTAGCTCTTTTCGTCAGGATACTGGTAGACCACGCCGTTCTCGCAACTGAACGAGGGACAGTCAGCGAACGCCCTGCGAAGAAGCGGGGTTGCGCACCGCTTTGGACCACGTAAGTACGCGCTGATAAAGCAACGATCAACGATTTCACGGCGGTACCGGCACCGGGATACCGGTACCGCCAAGACAGTGGATACGGCTGTCTCTGCTGTCTTGAAGTGGCTTTCTACAGAAATCGTTGGCAGCAGCCACCCCTTCCACTTCAAGGGGCAGAACCTGGAGGCTTCGCACGTCCAGCCGTCCCTACTACGAAAAAGCTGTCGGCACTAAGGTCCTTAGAGTTTCGCTTTGTGAGATGTATTCTTTAGCAAACTAGCAGTAAGGGCGGCTTGAGGTTTCAACTGCCAAGCTCTGGCAGCTTCTATGAGAATACCCGACGCTAAGAGTGCATTGAAAATCCGCGCTGGCTCAGCGGCCCGAACAAATAGAAAACCTACGAGACAGCACACCTTGACTCACATTGCAGCGTTTCCACAACACCGTAAGGGTCTCGGATTCGCTTCTCGAATACTTGCCCAAAGCGGGCCTCCAGGACTTTCTATAACACCCTTCGCCTTCCCTTGATGCCGTGAGGCGAGAGAGGGATACACACATTGAATGGCAAAGTTTCAGTCACTCTTATTTAGGGGCATTATTTCTACAGTGACAGCAGTGCCATCCTACATTCGCCAAACATGATGCAGCAACGGGTGAAGTTGTGGCCCCGTGGCCGGCTTACAGATGAAATTGCAAACGATTGATTGCCACATCTCTCCTTCTAGCCCAATATAGTGTTACAGTATTGAAGGTGCCTGAAACGCGTCTTAAAATAGTCTGATTATCGTCCTATACCGTAAACCGCCCGTGATCTGAATGTTCACCGGTTTCATGATTTTGGTGGTTGGTTGCAAAATTTCCGGCAAACAAAAACCAGAAGACCCAGGTGTTGCTTCCGTCGTAACGTCCATAAAGCCCCTGAATTAAAACGGTAGCGATCTATTTTTCATCCTCCCACGGTTGCGCATGGTCTTCTATTCTTATTTGTGCTTTTTCGCCCCTGCGGGCAAATGCAATTATCAAAATATAACATGCCGTTTTCCATTGCTTGTTTTTAACTTAAGTCAGAAAGCAGTGAGGGGTGAAAAGACATGCAGACACACATACACAAACTAAAAGTGAGCTTTCCTTGCGCATTTTACGGGTTTGACTACTCTGGCGGCAAAAAAAAAAACACATAAAAAAGATTATGAATGTAGTTACCTTGCGCGTTCGACCTGCAGCACGCACTCTCTTATCTTTATTTTTCTATATTTTGCGCTCCTTCACTGTTTAGCCGTCTCAAGAAAAAAAACAAAAGCGGCATTTACATACCAATATGGTGTCCGTCCTTTGAATAGAAGGTTTTATTAAGGCTGAACTCCATGGAGCTAATATGCTAAGAACAAGCGACTGATTTCGACCAGCGGCTGTGAATGAGTCTATCTGAGTCCTCTGATTAGGATGATTTTGTTTTAAAACTCGAGCGTAAAACTGAAGGCTAAATAAGGGGAGCATGAATGAAACGTAAATTTTGCCTGGTAGGCAAACCTGAATCGAGCGCGTGCTTGCATTATGATGAAAAATAAAAACTGCTTGTCCATTTTCTATATCCCAAAGGCGCTCTAAATGCATAGCGTTTATAAATCTCCTGTGACGTCATAGTGTTACCTGACAACACATGATCTCAAGTCAGGTCACGTCACGTTACCTGTCCTAAAGAAAAACACACGGTCACGTAACCTTACGTAATGTGATCACGTGACGTTACAATATCTCATGACGTCATGAGGTCGCGTGACCTGACATCATGATGTCACAGTGTCGCGATTACGATGTCACATGACAATGTCAGCCGACGTCACAATGTCACGTCAAATTACGTTACGTGGCCACTTGACGTGACATAAGGTTACCTGACGCAACGATGTCATGTGAGACCATGGTGCTACTTGAGGGCCGTCATGCTGAAGACGGCATGCGAACACCGTGTGCAAAATTTAGCGGTTTGCCTCCCTTCTACCAAAGCTCCCCCTGTCTTCTCCATCGAGGCTATATTCCGGGCACAAACGCAAAAGCGGTACAAGTTAGCCCTACAAATGTTATGAATTAAAAAAAGAACGAAATGGTGCTATCATTATGCTACCCAGCAATACAAGCATTATAATTGAACGAATCATTCTTTGAATACCTTGCTTGTCATAAAATCAGTAATGACGGAAAGTGTTTTGTCGTGAAGCTTTTAATGCGTGCCCCCTAGTCCCCTATGTTAAGAGCCTGCTCAGGGAAGAGTTGTAGGTCATCACGACGGAGCTCCGTACAAGGGACTTGCAAATAATCGTTTTCCCTTTCTCTCTCTCTCTCTAGCTCCCTTTTTTTTTCTAAGGGCAGGTACGCGAAGATCATGAGAGTATTAAGAAAAGCAGTAGGAATTTCATGTTTTGACGTTTGTGGTTGCACTTGGTGCTAGAGCCAGAGACAATCATTCACTCGAATTTGAACACTTCTAGGTGGGAACGTAGTTAGCCTAACGTAGGTCAGCGATGTTCCACAACTTTTACACACACAAGTGCTGTTTTGTTTTTAACCTCCAATGGATTGAGTAAACAAGCAAGAATGATAAAAATGTTTTAATGCTCATGATACCTGGACACATACTGTAGCTACTACTCAACAGAATCACCGCGAAAATGCAGGTCATTTTCATGAAGTGTAACAAGGGTTTCAAGGCCCTCCTCAAAGAAGGTTTCCGGCCGGGTTCTCAATCATTCCACTCCACGTTTAAAGAGAACGCCAGCCGCCACATACGTTCCTTTCGGACCCCCATCATGATTGCATTTTGATCGCCCTCTCCGAAACTCCATGCAGTTTCATCCGTACAGTCTACACCTCTGTGGCAGTGACGGTCTTGGTGATGCGTGGTGGAATGCCTTAAAACCCAGGAGGCAACGTTTCTTGACGATGGCGTCCAAAATTGTGCTGCACGTCATAATTATTACCTAAATCTGTGAAGGGATTACATAAAGAATTAGTTACAGTGCGTGTCTAAATTTTGTATGCCCTAAATATTTTCCTTCTCTCTTTTCCTATTTATTTCACGGATGTTGAAAAAAAAAAAAACAATCCTTGTATAGGCCGATCAAGGACGTCCGGAAACAGTTCGAAATATTCTGTGGCTTGCATTTGTGTTCAGTTTTGGTTCCTTAATACATCTGACGCCACATATTGTAGATTCTGTAGTGTGAGATCGATAGGAACAGACTGAAAATTTCTTTGCACGACCCCACTGGTATTTAAAACAATTTTGTGGATAGCACTTTCCCGCTTCGACACCCCTCCGCAAATGCAGCCAGCGAATGTTTTTGATAAGACATCTTGTTTTCCCGTACTTTCAGCTGACTGCAGTGTTAGGTATAATTTCCGTGTCGCTGAGTTTCTCTAGATCTTCGGTTTCTTTAGGGCAATTGCTAGGTTTAAAGAGTGTTGGAAGGTACTTCTACGATAAATCAACATCGATCAGGTACAAATCGTGCCCTGCCACGCTAGGCAGACACCATCTCCAACACTCTACCCGAGTTTCGGTAAAGTACAAATTTTCGTCAGCCGTATTCGCGAGGCAGAAATGCTTGATATTACAATTTTTATAAGGATCACTCCAGTCTAGAAGATACTCTTTCGTCAACGTTCCCAAAGTGCACTTCAAGTAGCTTTCGTAGATTGAAGCGACTGGCTGGCACAAAGATATTTTCCAGAGTGAACCAATTATGACGAAACATACAACTCTGCTGGCTCCTAGCTTTTTCATTTAGTCACGCTGTTTAGATCTGTACCCGAATAGGAAACTTCTATTCAATTTATAATTTGTAAATTACATCTTGGTTTCAGTGCAATAAGTAGAGTATCATTTTATGTTTTATTACGCCGGTTAATTGTATGTTCCTTATCTTGTTGCAGGCGTGGCTTGATGTGTACAAACGCCTCTTTAGGCTGGATTACACCCCCTGGTTTTCGAAGAATCCGGAGCCAGTCACAATCATTGCAGTTGACACAGTGACTAAAGACACAGGTATAAAACGTTTTATTTAAAAAAAAATAAGACCTTTGTTTTTGAAAGAAAAAAACACACAACAAAGAACTACATTTGGGGTGACACAGAGGCATGAGGAACGTTATAGTTATTAGACATTTATTACTTGTTATTGTTTTAAAAAAAAGAACTCGATTCTCCACAAAGAGGAGCAAATATTGCAACAATCCGTTAATTTCGTAAGGGCAATGACCATTCAATATATATACGGCAATGATAGCACGAGATAGCAAATAACGAAAAAAATGTAGTTGATAGAGGGTGCATAAATATAAGGTGTCCACAATAGATCCTGCCGTTGTAAAGCAAGCCGGAAAGCTGAACGCCTGCACATAGAAAGCTCAAACATTCAATGAATATGCATTTTGATGGTGGATTTTATTTGGTTGAAATTTGAAGGTGCACAACCCGTCTTGTGGAAAAAATTTGACCCGTTTGCTCGCTGAGACTATCGCGAGACGGTGCCACAACTTACAGCCATCGCTAACTCGGTCGTCTTGAAACACGTCCATCGTTTACCCTAGCAACTCCATTGGTCTCATCTTTCACAGGCCGGAAGCTTCGCCTTGAAATTGCAGGAGGCACAACTCACCAACCTATGATAATATTGCTAAAAAAATACACTTGAAATAATGAAACAACACTGAGTGTGCAGGCGAGTTGGTGACAGTTAATCATGATGTTTAAAACCCGAGACCAATAGAAAACTTTGAAGTGGAAGAAAAAAGGCACAGGAGAAGGAGCGAGAGAAGATGAATGATTTAGCTACGTTTTGAGATGTATTCTCCGGCGCCTTTTTTCTTCGACTTCAAAGTTTCTTATTTTTGCTCACCACAGTCTCGGATTTTAAACATCATGATTAGATTGAATACAGAAATGATTTATTCAGAATAACGTTGTCGGCCGCGACGGGCGTCGGGCTACGAGCACACAATGATAATTAGCAATACAATTACCATACATGCACCAATTAACATTTGAGATAGCCGCATTAGATTACACGACACAATAATTTATTTTTTGTGCTAACACTCCTTTTTTTTACGTCGACAAATTTTTCGGCAAAGAGCACTACCACTGGGACATTTTTCGATGTTCGAAAGACTGTGCTTGTTTTTTGTTTGACAGGGGCGATGCAGAACGTGACGACTAATTAATTCTTTGATGACTAAGTTGGGTAGCTCTTGTTTTATTTTTTCATAAAGAATAATGAAACTCATATGCGCATCTTTTGATATATACATTTCACTTGGTGCAAGGTCCGCAGTCGACAGAATAAAGTTTTGAATAAAGAAAGTGTTTTCGAAAGTAGTCGACACCTCGTGCATAGCCCGTACTCGGCGTATACTGTATTCATTTTTCTACTCCCATAGAATTTATCACGTCATTAGTTTGCCTACATATATTAGAACCTGATCTCTTATACTGGTTAATAAATCAATGCGTATGTAAATGTACATGCTTTTAACAATTAATAATATTTAAATTTATATTAAAAATGGGTTTGCATGGACTTCCTAATTACAAAGTCATGGTGGCCATGGTTCCTGAGAGACACCACAGTCAATTGTTTAGCTGTGGTAATAATGTTGCAACCATACGAAACGGCACTCCGTGCCAATAAGATCAAGATGGGTCCACTTTAATTACATCGCGCGTCACCCGGGGGAATGGGGGGGGGGGGGGGGGGGGGTATCGAGGGTGAATTGAATGCGCTGCTAATGTCCGCTGTCACCCAACTAATAATTCCCAACGCCAGACGGTGTGATATTGACAACCACACAAATTAACAACTGCACTGATAATGAGCCATCTTGGAAAAACAGTCTTGAATAGTCTTCATCTTCTAATTGTCCGCAAATCGTAGAATATAAGCTCTGAAGAATGCATAGTCCGAAGACTATAGTCTGAACAAATACGAGAGTACTTTCTCGTTAGGAATTGTACAAAATTTATTTCCACAAAATCATAATGATATATTACTTTTTTCAGCAGCTTATAATCGTGTTTACAAAATTTCTAGTGGAGGTTCTAAGTGCAAGGCAAAAAAAATAAGTAAACTTCAGTTTGACCCGCAAATGATTTTGTTGCCATCGGACATCTCACACTTGACGACAAAGACATTTTTCACTGGACGCAGAGACGATGCGAGGTTAACATACACAAAAGTGGTGAGTTGCCTTTAGATGTTCGTTTTATTTATGTAAGAAGTTTACATTGAGTATCTACGAACCTAAAATAACTAAGTACTAAATTAATGTAAGACCAGAGCAACACTCAATCCCTTCAATTCCCCATGAAGGGAATATTTTCATTTCACACTCCTTAGTATTTATTTATTTATTTGAAGATATTACTACCTTCTCACGGAAGTCATTGTAGGACCGGGGGAACGTACAATATAACAAATATCAGTGCGACAAATTTATTCACAACTGTACTAACAAGAAACCCCAATTCACAGTTTACACAATGCAAACACAACAGAAAGTGGCAACAATAGCAAGAGAATGCTCGGTCAATTGAACCTCCAGTTCGATTGTTCAGTTTGTATCCTCCACCTCTCCTTTTAAGCAAAGCAAGCAAGACAATGCTCAGACAATTGAACCTCCAGTTTGATTGTTCAGTTTGTATCCTCCAACTCTCCTTTTAAGCAAAGCAAGCAAGAGAATGCTCGGACAATTGAACCTCCAGTTCGATTGTTCAGTTTCTATCTTCCACCTCTCCTTTTAAGCAAAGCAAGCAAGAGAGTGCTCGGACAATTCAACCTCCAGTTCGATTGTTCAGTTTGTATCCTCCAACTCTCCTTTTAAGCAAAGCAAGCAAGAGAATGCTCGGACAATTGAACCTCCAGTTCGATTGTTCAGTTTGTATCCTCCAACTCTCCTTTTAAGCAAAGCAAGCAAGAGAATGCTCGGACACTTGAACCTCCAGTTCGATTGTTCAGTTTGTATCCTCCAACTCTCCTTTTAAGCAAAGCCAGCAAGAGAATGCTCGGACAATTGGACCTCCAGTTCGATGGTTCAGTTTGTATCCTCCAACTCTCCTTTTAAGCAAAGCAAGCAAGAGAATGCTCGGACAATTGAACCTCCAGTTCGATTGTTCAGTTTGTATCGTGTAACTCTCCCTTTAAGAAGTGGGGTTGATGGTGTGTGTCAGCAAAGACCAGGGACGGGGCTGGCCTAGCTAAGTGTTCGTAGTTCGTTCGTTTTAATCACTGACGAGAAACGCCCATACATATGAGATGGAGATGGAGGGAGAAACAAAGAAACAAAGCAACTAAAAGGGAAAGTGCACCAAGACACATGCCAGGAGGATTCAAGGACGTCTCAGGAGGCCCGCTTCTTAAAGAACGTCCAATATAAAGGGGGTGGTGATAAATATTAAAGCATGAATAAAATATCGAGTTTGCGTTTCAGTGGCATACCAGAAAAATGGCGAACTACTAGTTGAACGGTGAACGTTTTATAATGTATATAGATATATAAGTTCTAGTACTATACTGTCATCGTACGAGAAATAACTCATAATGTAATACCTGAAAAATTCGTCTCAAAAACTCAAGGAAATTTCAATTCGAAGAAAAATACATCAGAAGTAGGAGAAGAAAGAAACTGGAGGATTTTTGAGGTTTCGGGACCCTAGTCTCAGGTGTTACATTGCGATTAATTATCACCAGCTCGCCTGCACACTTACTGCTTTTTCGGTATAATAGAAACGTGAGAATATAAGAGTTTCCAATTAGAATAAAATAAACATTAACCTAATCATTTAAATATGAATTTCGAATTTTTAGTCATCGAGTTTCCGAATAGTTCGATGCATTGAATACCCGTAGGTACTGCTGGACAGAGTACATGTTTATTCACGGATGCTGTCCACACGATCACATAGTTTTAGCACGACTCTGTTGACTCTCTACCAAATTTGCTTTCAGAAGCTCTCACTAACTAACCGATAAGACAGAAAGTAGGACTGTCTTGCACTTTTCACGTGACGCAATCGCATTGAAACCTCTTCGCGCTCTAAGAAAACGCGCAAAGTAAGCAGTTGCGTCGTGTTGCGCCAGCTCTCGGCTATACAGTTATATTCCTGTTTATTACGTTCATATTATGGCAATGAAATACGAAAATGAAAATTTGTTGAAATTAAGCAGTTCTTTCAATTTCTGGGCATTGCAAAGTGAAATATTGACATTCAATGTTTAATCCGACATTCAAAGGTTTGACCACTGTTCGGTACTATTATCGAATGTGATTGGATTTGAAGTTGCACTATTCGTGCACCTTTATAAAATAGTATTTACAGTGCATTTTCAATCGCACTTTCAACCATGATTTGTTTAACTATTTAATGGCAGTACATTGGCCCAAACCTCAAGGAATGTTGACCATTGACAAAGTTTACATGCTTCCAAAAATAGCGTCAAATAACTCAAATATCTGAAAGCAATAAAACAAAATGTTATAGTTGTTGACATTTTTTTTTTGTGGCGAATTAGAGGTTAGCGGTTATATTATAAAATCGTCACAAGGGTTTGCCCCTTGTGACGATTTCGGTATCGTAGGAAATATGAACGTCGTATAAATAAACATTCCAACGTTTGGACGACGATCTTCATATCATTTTATGTAAATATTCAAGACATGCTCAATCTGCAGTTTTTGATAAATGTTTTCCAAGGAAAGTCAATTATTTCTTAAAGTAAATAAAGGGAACACAGTAATAATCGCCAATGAACGCCAATAGAACTTGGAAAGTAAAGACAGCTTGGTTGTTGTTACATGGCTGATGTGTGAAGACATTAAAGGCCCGTTCAGCTATTTGCATTTAACTACGACCGACTAACTCTAGACCGGTTTTTGAGGCTCTTCTAATGGCTTACGACATCTGCATTGCTGCTCAGCCGACCGTAAGCTGTTGCAATTGGCTTAAAAACCGGTCTTGTCTCAGTCGGTCGTACTCGGTTGCAAGCGTGTGAACGGGTCTTAATTTCTGTTTATGAATTCTTACGGAGTTTTTATTTGTTATAGATTTTCAAGAGAGGAATTCCATGCCATTTGTGGAGCATGAAGAGAACAGATTGGCCGCCTGGCCTCACATACGTTGTCTCTCTATGGCAGTGGTGCTTCATTAATAAGGTTAAGGCACGCTCATTATTTACAATAACATATATTTATTAAAATGCAACTGAGACGTTTGTCTAAATTCAACACATTTGACAGAAAAATAGTGAAGATTATTTATTTAATAATTAACTATTTATTTGTTATGCGCGTGCGTTTAACTATTCTCATGTCTGCAAGGAGCGCTCATCAAAATAATGACGAGAAAAAAAAGTGCCAATTTTCCGGCCGGAAACATTAATGTGTTCCTATTTGGTGTCTATACCTTCCAATAAGAGCAGCAGTATAATCTTGATAAGCTATAATTCTACATCCGAACATAGTAGACACGTTAAAAGCGATAGTTTATTAAAAACGAAAACAAGAAATTTAGTTGTAGAATAATTGGACCGGCATAAAGTTGAACTAGTTCGTGCATATCTATATATGGTATAAAATATAAAAATATAATAATTGGACTTCTTTTTCAGGAGTTTTTTACTGATCCATCTAAAATCATATCCTCCCAGCTCGTCAGTCTTGACATCATTATTGAAGATGTGAGTTGAATGCATAAATATACGTAATTTACTGCATAGCATTTATGTGGCTTCATGGTTTCGTGTTTGCTTCTATTCAAAGGAAATATGAATAATGTTTTGGCCCGTATTTTTACGAAATGTAGCCACGCCTCGCCTTTTAAGTATATCTATTGGGATGTCACTGCGATTAACCTCATAAAATAATAATACTTACTATATCCTTGTCGTCCTTTTTGATTTGGTACTTGGGCCTAACTTGTTCCTTTTAAATGAGCGCCAAAGCCTCTCAAGCATTTTTTTCTCTCTTTGTATTATGTAATAGGAAATTAACTTTGATGTTTAGAAAGTCAAATTATTACCTACATCTTATCCGTCAAGCGAAAAATTCTGTTAGGCTTGTGGACTATTATTTTAAAAAAGGTTACACGTTTTTGACGTTATACAAGTATAAAAAGTCATCACTTCGTAGCTTTGAGGACAAGTCTAGGCGCCCGTTTCCGTGGTTTTTGACAGACGCCTAATATTTTTATATTTCGGAGAAACTTGCCCTTTCAGAGTAAACATAAAGTAGTTTCTTGGGAAATAATTTTGTTTTGATACTTGCAGTGTACTTGATATTGTGATGTCACTTTTACAGACCATAGCAACTTATAATACTCGTTTCTGCATTGTTTAACTCTACAATGTGCTAATAAAAACTTGATTTTCACTTTATGTTTATTTAGTGGCCAATTATAGATTCACCGAACTCCGTAAAAACTTGGTACATCAATCAATGTAATCTTAGCAATACCACAATAATTATTTAACAAACAGTTCTGTTAGAACTGTTGAATAATTCAATTGATTAAGGGTCCAACAACGTTAATGTGCAGATATTTACATAGTTTCCAGCATTGTACGCTCACTGTCATGGTCCATTTTAAAGCCTGTGCCTCGTTTCACGCGCTGAACACTATCCACTCGTATTCGTTGATGCCCGGTTAGGCACAAATGTCTTCAACACACTCCCTGCCGGATGCGAGGGAGCACATTCTACAGTTTCGGCATTACTGAAAGTAGATGAACTGTCCAGGCCTTCGCAAAAAAGTTACCGTTAAGTACCTTTACATCTCTACGTCGCACAAAAATTCCCTTAGTCTCACCCGTGGAAACCTCTTTCCACGTGGCAAGACTTCCAATGCAGGCTCGGACATGTTTTTTAGAAGACTGCCTTTAACTAGTCGCCTAGGCATATCTTAGTTCGCGAAGGTATTCAAATTCAAATTCGTTTATTTTACCACAAACAGTACACTTGTGACAGGGGCGCTGGAAAAGAAGCTGTAGGCAATATTGAGAATTCAACTTCGCAATCAACAGTATACAAAAAAGTGGTGGTTACTTATTATAAAGCTTCCTGAATGGAACGTAGACTAACAGAGTGTATTTCAATATCACGGGAAAACAGAGTTTTTAATAAAAGTGGTAATTGGTGGCAATATTTTTGGAGACCAAAATTTGTCCTTGAAAAGGGAATACCTCAGGGTCGCGACGGGTATACAGACTCGTTTGCTTCTAGATTACGAAGATCAAGAGAAATTTCAATATTTTCCCTTACGGATCGTTGATAATTAGCTATCAGTCCATGCGCATACAACAACAAAAGAAAACGCCAACAGATCATCGGGCACTCTCCCAAGCGTATTTGTATCAGGACTTCGTCGCTTCACGGAAAAACACGGGCGCAACCTTCCAAACCGGGTTCCAACGCTGGATATTGTTGATGGAGATGAAGACGACGAAGAAGATTCGCCCAACCCATAGTAACCCGTGACCAAGGGGCCGAGCTGGTCCCGAAACGTAGGGTATTTAGTTTTTATTCAAATTTGGTTAGAGTTTTAATTTTTGTAGTCAGTTTATGATTACGCGATTTTATGTTTTTACATAAGGTTGTGAGCGGTGCTATTGACTCACCACTTTTTTTAAGCACTGTCCGTTTTCACGCTGCCTTGCGGGCCAATCGATTTCAGATTCCTTTTTACCCTTCTGCTTTTTGGTATTGGTATTGGTATTGGCATTTATTGCGTGCCCAAAACATCGTGAAGGCTTTGATATTGCGCACATAAAAGTCACAATGAGTTGAACATGCAAAAGATGTGAAATACAGGAGTGACACATCAGTCATAATAAAACAAATTACAGACACAACTGGGTATTCAAAGTAAAATAAAGCATGGAAAAGAAATCATGCCGCACAAGGCTATTACAAAAAAAAGTTGAATTCTATGCATTGGTGACCCTTCAATCTGCTTGTTAGGATAAAACGTATCGCAGAGTTGCGCATGTTTAGCTGGCACACGTAAGCTTGTACTACTCAAAAGATCAGGTGCATCGAAACTACCTTGTGTGAGTTTCTGTAAAAACACCACATCTCGGCAATGCCTGCGGTCAATTAGCGTTATGAGGTTTAAAACTTTAACGAGAAAATTATACTCGAAATAGACCCGTTAAAATGCCTATCGTAGACTATGCGTATGAGACGCCTTTGTACCATTTAAATACGTCTGCAATCACTATGTGATAGAAAGTTCTACACAACAGACGCAAATTCAAGTCGTGGCCTAACCAAAGCACAAAATAAGCGTATTAAAGTGTCAGGTGCCTGGAAGTGTCGAGTCAAACGTGAGATCATCCCAAGCACTTTAAGACCGGTACCACAAATGTTAGTGACATGAGATTTGAACAATAGTTTACAGTCTACCAGCACACCAAGGTCACTGACTACATCAGATCGAGCAATAGTACAGTTTCCTAACTTATATTTAAAGTGTAAGAGATTATTGCGTCTTGTTAGCAAGACTACATTAGGTTTGTTGGCGATCAAAGGTAAGCGGTTTAACAGGCACCACTTAGAAATGATCAACACATCAGATTGTAGCGCTTCACAGTCTTTTTCGGAATGAATATGTGAAAATAAATTTACATCGTCAGCAAATAAAAGCATCCTGTCAGATGTAATACACCTTGAAATATCATTAATGAATACTAAGTATAGCAATGACCCCACTACGGACCACTGGGATACTCCTGAAGTTGGAGAGAACGCACTTGATAAAACATTATCAACACGAACAAAGTTTCTTCGCAATGACCAATAACTAGAAACCCAATCACAAAGCTTAGGTACAATACCATAATGTTCCAATTTTTGTACAAGCAAAAAATGATCAACCCTATCAAGCCTTTGAAAGATCGAAATAAATCGAGTCAATCTGACCGCTTTTCGAAACGACCGGGGCTGCGTAATGAAGAAATGTACAAAGGTTAGTTTCCACGGAAAGTCCTCTAATGAAGCCATGCTGTTGATGTGTAAGATACTTTGAATGACACATCACCATTAAAAAGAATGCAACTTCAATTCAACAAACTGGATCAATCTGTTGTAGACATTTTAACGATTTGATTGTTTTTGACATAGACGACTTGACTCAATTATATGTACATAGTTTTGACCTTGTTTTGTGGCATGCATTTATTCCTGATGACGAGCGGTGTACCACTATTTAGGCTCTGTGCTGTTTTTGGAGAAGCAAGGAAAATAAAAATAAAAATTATTATTAAAAGAACTTATGTCCACATGGTATCTCAGTAAAGCCACAGTTATCCCTAAATGAAAGAGTTAAACAATATTCACGACAAGTATTGTTAGCGGCTGTGGCCTCATAAGAACGGCAGACTCAAAGTAACGTGAAAAAACAGCTCTACTTACAAGCTGTGATAACGCTGTCTGAGCTTCAGTAGAGAGTAACTTACTTCGTCACTTTTTGGTTGAGTAACAAATAACGATAATTAGTTACTTTATTTCAATTACGTGCGCATGTCTCCACCCTCGTATCTGTCATTAGTCTTTGCAAATTTTGGCTTCATTTCATTCTTACGTGGTCCTCGGAAAGGTTTTCGACTGGCGTGTCTGTGACTCCAACGGTTTTGGGCTCCTAGAATTCCTTGAGAGGTGACGCGTTTTGCGATTCTGGTATTTTTTCTTGCAGCACGATCGTTTGTGAGCAACTCTCGGCCGTTGAGCCGTGAGTTGCTCTCAGTTTTAATATCAGTCGGACTCCTACTTAGTCTGCGAATTTTTCCTGTGACGCACTCTCGGCAATGGTCGGATCCTGGCAGGATTTCGACGCCGCGCTGTTTTAGTTGGTCAGAAGTTCTCCGCTAGGCAGTCAAGTTTCTCCAATTTTTGTTTTTTTAAGATGCAATCATTGGGAGTTAGTGTTTTCTGTTCACAAACGGTAGGCGTAGTAATGGATTGGAGCTCATATATTTTGTTGCGTTCATCTCGCAAAGTCACATCAGTCCTGCAACATCCACGTTTGTTGCCATCACCCCCAAACACGGGGATCTTAAGTATTTCTGTCCCATTCAGTTCGCAGAGGAAGTCTGTGAGACAGTTTTTCTATGGTAAACATGCTCCATACTTTTAGGGCTCCTGACTTATGCTGTTCCAGTCTGCGAAAGGACTGCCTGCTTCGTAGTGCCCCTCCATGTAACCTGAAGATTCAGTTACTGTGTTTTTGTTCTCTTCTCTCGTGGTCTTGTTCAATCGTGAAACTTTTCATTCGGGGACTAGGCCCGATTAAAAAACGATAGAACATTCCTGCCGCGACAGTTGCTTCAAGACAGGATGTTCTTACTCATTTCCGAGGTGTAATTCGGCTTCCTGCGCCTGATGCATCGTCGATCAGTTTGTAGAGCGCGTTTTTTCTCCAAGATGTCCGTTACTCTTAGTAAAACATATAAAATAGCGCAACAGAAACAAGGACAAGAAGTAAACAGGACAGCCGTTACTCTGTTGTAGTTTTCTGTTCCGTGTGTATTTGATATACAGTGAAAGCATTGCTCATCCTTGACTGTGCTGTGCAAGGTTGCCGCCGATAATCGTCGGATCTAGTCATAGTACGGTGTTTGTTTCCATGTCTTTTGTGCCCGAGACGACGTTGGGTTGCCGGTAGTGTCTTTCGATTGAAAAGTGGACTTTTCCCTGCTCTCCACTTCTATAAAGAGGAAGTTCAGAAGCATAAGTAGCATCCCGAAGTGCACAGGCTCTACTGTTGACTGGGATGCGGTGTCGGTTCTTGACCTCCCTCCGGTCTAGCGTCTCGATCATCCACGGAAGGCATCTCGCGGTTGTAGTCCAAACACATGTCGTTCTGTAGCGCTCAAAGGACTGAGTATAACAAAGCTCAGTAAGAGCCTTGGCCCAAACTCGGCGCTATTAATACCCCGATGTGAGCTTGGAGATTGTCGTCAGCGTAACATTGAGGGATAGGCTGCAGTTCTGTGATGAATTCTGCACAATCTGCAGTCCATGTCGATCTCCGGTGAATACATTTCTCCGACACTGACAAGTTTGGATTGCAATGAGTTTCCCGCCAAAATACTCTCCCACAAGGGGTGAAAATTGTTTAGTTGACCCTAGACATCAATTAGTTCCAATTTTAGTAGGATGATACTAGCCGTTTTTGATGCTTCATGCTCTTCCGCTCTGGTCTTTGTTTGTGCGTCCACCGTTTGCGTTGCTTTTCTTCGCGGTCGGCTTTGCTTTTCTCTTTCATTTTGTGGCGCACGTGACTAGATTATAGGCGTAATGTCTGACATGTGTGAACTCTGTCTCTGCATCGGGTTCGAGGATCAGGGGCTTGATCGCGTTGTTAACGTTATTGAGCGGGTCCCACACCAGCTACAGACGCTCAGTCAAAACTTCTACTTCCTCAGTCTTCAGTGCGGTCGACTGTAGCTTTAGCTACAGTCGACCGCATTGAAATACTCGTTTTCGAGGCGGATTGTCTGCAGACGATCCGCCTCGCAAAGGAGCTGCGTTACCTGCGTGCGGTGAATCCTGCCTTTCTTTTTGAGAATCTCCATGGAGCCGTTTCTTTCAAACACCTAGCTGTGTTTGGAGATTTGTGTTTGTCCCCTGTCCCTCTTGTTCCCCTTCTCCAGGAATTACATTCGACATTCTTGTCCAGCTCGCTTGCACCTTTGCATTTAATTGCATTATAATCAAATCCATCACACGTTTCTCGCTAGCATTATCCGCAGTGCTGCAGCTTCCCAGATTTTGGCCCCAAATATTGTTAGGTCGCTTGAATAGTCGTTCAGTTGGCCAGGTTCCCAACAATGTTTATATATTTAGAGAATGTGGCTATACTTTGTCTCATCCTACGATGGACTAAAGGCAAAAGCTACGGACCGCCAGATCCAATCACGAGCCACTTAGAAATTGCGTATTGCGCTTTGATGCACGTATCAGTGCCAGCGTCTCGGATCACTGATTGGGATAGGCGGACAGTGGTTCAAATTGAATAGCAGGGAGCGACTCAACAATTTTACATTGCAAAAACGAGGTTGTTTGCAGTGTCCAAGCTATACAAATGATGCAGCGCTTTTGTGTTCGGAGCATTATTCGTCCACTCCCAATCAATGCTACGCATGTCATAGCGTAGCGTGGAACGTGATTGGACGTGGCGGCCCGTGACTTTGGCCTTTAGTTCATCGTAGGCTGAGACAAAGTATAGCGTTGTCCGTTCATCGTCATGATCCACTTTAAGAACCATGCCTCGTATCTTGCGCCAAACGCTAGGTCCCCGTGTTGGTCGATTCACCGTCACGTATATAATGCTTCATGTTCTATAGCACCAACATTGGTTTTCACAATATATATTTTGCATGCATAAATTAATCATATCGAAAAGACCTATCGAATGCGTTTGATAAGTGCTTCACAGCAATTAAAGTTGTTGTATACAAAGAAACGAAAGTCATTTACAAAAATAATACAATAGCAAGCATTCTCGCGTATTTATCCCAATATTTATTTTTAGTCAGTCAACATTAGTCAACAGCAAGACCTATGCCGAAGATTCACCTGCCATTGAATAACCGAGGTGAATAGCCTAAAATTTAAAGACGATGTTTCGCAAAACATACACCTTCTTAAGGTTGTCGTATTGCGAGGTACTCAAGAAGGCCCCTTCGCGAAACATAGGTCTTCGTCTAGCCTTGTGCAGTTGGTTGTTTTGTAAATTACTGCCCTCTTGTTCTTTTGCCGTCGTGCGTAATTTCTTAACTGGTGCGAAAGAATGTAAATTGTTTTCCGCATTTTATAAGGACACACACCCTTCACTTTCAGGTCTACTATAAAAAAAGCGAGAAGTACAGGCCTTATGAAAATGGACAGACCTTTTCGTTCTATTTCTATAATGTAAACTCCAATATGAATAAATTATCGGAAACAGAAGGCTTTGCTCCAACAGCGTGCTACAACACGAGTGATAGAAAACATTTGCGAATACGCTTGTCACGTAAGTACATATATTTAGTCGCATCTTACTGTTAATACACATAAGATGTCGAGAAAGTAGTCACGACAAAACATGGCAAATATTGTGCAGACAAAATAATATAACACAAAATACCTGCTTAGTTTTAATTAAACGAACATGTTATGACTCGAGAAGCTTACACAGTTTATATGGTTTTCTGATATGTTATGTGTAGTCCGGAGACTTCTTGAGGCGTTTTAACGAATTTTATTATGACATTCACCATTCATTTGCGCGACAAATTAAAGTGAATAAAGCCAATGGCACGCACGGGATATGGTGTATACTCACCGGGATATGAAGTTTGGGTTGACAAGTGGCGGCATATTTTTGGGTAGTTTTCGCAACTTTGAGACAGGTCGCCGCCGCAATCATTGGGCACGATCTCAAACTCGAATCCTTTAGTGCACTGCTGAACCCTGACGCAGCGCTCGTGCCCAATCGTTCCGTGGTTTGGTCTTCCCAAGGTTGCCCAGTTTGCCACCAACGGCACTGACCAGCAGCCGATCGAGTTGCCTCCTTTTCACTGTCCTGGGGCTATAGTAGAGCAAAATATCATATTTGAGTAATACTATGCCCTGAGTCCGAAATTAAACGGGCTGTAGATGACACACTTAGTGAAGATGATCTGCCGAAAGGTAACGCAGAACAAAACGCGAACATTAAAAATATAGAAAAACGACGGGGGTTTCGCCGCATTTTTATTCGGTAGGGATGACGTATCGTAATATATTTATTGAATGTAAGACTGAAGATCAAGAGGAAACGTACAAGGTACGTTTCCTTTTGTTAATGTACAAGGACGCAAAAGGTTACAGACACTCGCGACAAAAAGAAGTGGAGCATATTACTGGGAAGGGACTTTGGCCGATGGTTCCGTCACCGATGAACGGGGATGGTGTCCAGTATTCTATGTTTCGTATTTAGTTACTTGGTCTAAACTTAAATTTTAAAAAAGCCTGTCCTCACAACTATAGAAAACCAAGGTAACGTGAATTGCGCTCCTCACAAACTAAGTAGTCGAATTTTGGTTACTTGCGTTCATCGGTTGAAACAAAAACTTTGTCTACCGCGGAAACTCTCTTCGGCTCCACGTCATTCGAAGTGTTGGCCAGCGGTCGGCATAAAAAAGCATTCCTGTGTTTTTCTCTTGGTGGTAAATTCAAACCTGTGAAATAACCAGCAACCAAAATTGTTAAGCGTAAATAAGAACGAACACATACGCTATCGTTAGAAACTGTGAAGATAATTTGTAGTTCGCAGGTGACGATAGATATTTGTGAATAATGTCCTCCCATTTCAGTATTTTACCAGATTTTTCTAGGAACAGAGCTTTAGTTAGTAGCCACACATTGAAAGATTTTACGCAATTAACAGTGTAAAGGTTTGTTTCAGATACTTACACCCATATCTTCCCACTTTCATTGCCCTTACTTTGAACATACAGCCCTTTTAATTGTAGAATAGGGCGGTGTGGCTTGCAGCAGCCTTCGTTTTTGAAAACCTTAAGGGCATGGAAAAGGGTGTTGGGGGTTGTTTCAGCGAGTACGTCAAATAATTATTTCCAATAATGTAAGGGGTCTTCGTTAATTCGTGCTCGCAGTGTCAAAGTCGCGGATTAGGAAATACTCCTTCTCTTTCTGCTCAAGATGTGAACCATGATCTGGATTCTAAAACTGAAGATCCCGAGGTATTAACAACACATCAAGTCGTTGACATCTCGTTTGAAAATCAGACACATTTATTAAATCGGAGGCATACGTGCAGTTGTGATTCGAAAATCAATCTTCGCGTTTCCATGGGTACCCCCCAGAACTAATTCTAGAAACGTTGTTCTTTGTGGGCATCGTTTGTTTTTTCTAAACCCCTTACCACCTTTTTTATTACGGCTTATAGTTCTCTAGAGTAGATTGTTGGGCTTGTTGGTTTTGGTACATGGAATACATTTTAACGCTCAAAATACAAGGACACAAAGACGAGGATCAGACACCCCAGTGCGCTGTTTTCAGCTTTGTGTGTTCCTGATGTACGGGTCACGCGGCCGCTGGTTTAGGTGGGAGACTTCTCGTGTTCCCTCCGCAGGGCACCAGTGAGCCTGGCCTAAAACTAACTTGGAATACAAAAAAAAAAAAAAAAGCACAATGAAGGTGTTTGCGATTGCAACTTACGTAAAACTCAACAAAATATTTTATGACAAAAATGCAATGAAGCAAGCAGACTCACGACATTCATTGGATTTTGATAGAAGGGAGTGTTTCATGCTATTTATGAACACATGAGCAGTATTTTTTATCCTTTCAATAACAGGGTAATCATTCCGAAGTTGTGGTGTTTTATATAAAGGACGGAAATTTTCCGGTTTTTATTCAAAGAAAAATAGGTGGATGGTTTCTACTGCGTAGTTAGTGTTTAAATATTTATGTATTTCGGCGATCTGTTTCGTACGGACGCTGAAACGGTAAGTATCGCTGCAACGAATCATGAAAACTGAGAGTACAAATTTAACTTACAATTTGTGTATGCCCTTAAACGGTTCGGTGCTTGCAAACCAACACTGGGGAGTCTGAAAACGGACCGAAGTCCGAGTACTCTTTAACGCAACTATCTGCAAATTGTCCTTTTTTGTATCCTACCACCAATCTGCTCTGTCAGACGCGAAAACTTGAAATGCTGTCAAGCAAATGGTTCTTCCATGAGGAAGGCAAGTTGCTCTTGATTATTTTTCACGTATCAACATTTAAAAGCCGCCAGCGAATTTTTGAGCACTGTCGTCCCGCTCTGACTTGAATATAGCAAATGGATTTGAACAATCCGTGGTGACCAACTAAATGGCGTAACCCTGATATCGCTATCCCTCAAGGTTTGTAATTTTACTGATTCAAAACTGACAAGGTGCTTAATTTTAGATGACAGTAGGCGAATGACGAACATCTAAAAAGGGAGGGCTTCGACAAAACAGTCCTTGTTTGAAGCAAGCGTTTAAAGCAATAGGTGGTTTTCGGTTTATACTGTTCTATTAATTTTTATACCGACAGTTGCTTATCTGTGTTTTGGGTTCATTCGCGGTTTCGGTTGCGTGTATAGTTGTTTCCTCAGATTATATTGTGTTGTTTTTTGGCTGTAAATCTGATAGGATTAATTTTGATTATTCTTATACTTGCTAAATATTTTCGTTGCTAATCCAAACATAAAAAAAGTTCGGTATCTTAAATTTAATACTTGGCAAAATGTGGGGCTTCTACTGCGGAATTCAGGTTTTCAATGCAGCACACTCTTCGCTCTAGTAGTCGTAACAACCCGTCTACATTCTTTAGCAGCGGTTTCTCAGATTAATATACAATAACAAAGATGGGATTGAATTAGACTCTTGTAGGACTGACATTGATCAGGAAACGAAGGAGATGTGGAAGTTTGTGTAAAATTCAAATCGATCTAGATACATTAAAGCGAGATGATTAATATGGTCTATTTAGAGATTCAGCCTGAACAAATGTTAGGTCTAATCTTTGTGGACGCATTTTTTGTATACATGCTCTTGTCTTATTTTGAATTCAGTGTCGATCAGAAACTTTCAATTTAGTCTGATACCTTCATCCAGGCTGCGTATTGAATCCAACCCTTCGGATTTGGCGTTAGATTAGGGTTAACCCAGTCGCAGTTAAAAGACAGAATTCGATAGGATATCCCCGAGTACGCAAGGCCGGCGTATATTGTAGGCTTATACACCGCAAACATGATTGAATGCCAAGTAAGCACGACATTTAAGATCAAACACAGGCGAAACACATTTCTCGCGACAAGCTTTTTTTTCCCCTTGACAACGTTGAAAACAATTTTAGTTGGTACGCTGTACATTAGCAAGTCGCATCGAGGCTCTATGCAAAGTTATACTAAACACAAATATGGGCACATGTGATTTGTTTTAAATTATTCACAACTAAAATATACCATTATGGCACGCTGCAAGAAAACATAAATGTGCGCAAACGTGAAACTGCTCTGTAGAATGCAGACTAAAAAATTCAATTGAACTGTTCTTGCGTTGAAGAAATCATAAGGGGAAAACTATACCTGCTGCGGTTTTAGCACGACGGATATTTTCCAACAAAACCAAAAAGGAATGTATGTTGCCAAAAGCTTCGGGCATGTAAAACGGGTACTTGAGTTGAGAAGAGTGAACTCAAAATATGTAACCCGAGATCACGGGCATCACACAACACAATCACAGGTAAATCTGTTACGAATCCTACGTGACATGCACAAATGTGTCATGCACCGCAGCCGCCAGGCACCAAATGGACTTCCTCAAAATTCTCCACGGTCTTTCTATAAAACGGCACTAACGCGCTGAAGGCTGCGGTAAGGGGGTGGGGGGTTGCAAAAATGCGCGTTGTCTGATCTCAAAATATTAAAAACAACTCATGTGTTTACCAACGCCTCTCTGATTCTGCAGTCGAAAGTATAAAGGGCATTTATTTAACCTGAGACTGGGGTAGAGAAGAAACATCAAAACGTAGAAGGGACAGAAAATAGACAGGACGACGTCTCAAGTTTTATTTTTTTGTTTTATTTTTATTCCTTGTTTTTTTTTTATTTATTTATTTGCCTATTTTAACTGGATCAATTTTCTTAGCCGTTGGAAGGGTGTTGCCATTGAACCTCCACATTTTCGTTCTGTGGTATGCTGCCCTTGCTGGCCGCTCTGACACCTTCTACCACGCCGGCTGCCTTTTTTTTTAGCGTAATTCTTGTTGTTTGTATTTTCTCGTGTTTTTTCTGCGTGCACGGATGCCACCGCAGTGAACAATACTTTTAACTGGACCACGAAAATTGTAAAAAAAAAAACTAAAAAAAACTTTATGGTCGGTTGAACTGGAACAGGTTTGGTTGAAAATAGAGCAGGGTAAGGGAAACGACAGGCCGATCCGCGTAGAACCTACATGTTTCACATAAAAAAGGAAGCGAAAAAAAGCCGTCGTTCTACATAAAATTACCGTTTGACAAAAAATTGTCCCTGGCTTTAGACGGAATGTGTGGCGCGTTTGTTAAGCTGGAATCTAAAGGGTGTTTCAAACAAAGATATACGGGGTTATTTTTTGCTGCAAAGTTAAACGATACATAGCCGAGCGCTCATTCTCCGTCCAAAATTAGCGCTAGGTGTCCGAACCTGATACCAAAGCTTCAGCCCGAATCAATATCTTATTGAAAATGTATAGGTGATATTCCAAATATTTCAATGGGAAAACTGCGGCCGACGAATTTCTCGAAAACATGAAGCTCTATGGCTCCAGAAACCGAAAACAGCCGATAATGGCCAACACTTTCCCATTGCAATTTTCACAAAATCACATATAACTTTTGAATAAGATATCGATTCGGGCTGAAACTTTTGCATCAGGTTCAGACCTCTAGTACTACCTTTTGGAGGAGAATGAGTGTTTGGAATGCGTAGTTTATTTTTGCGCTAAAAAAAAACTGTAAATGTCTTTTGGGAACACCCTGTACGTGGACTCATATTAATAAGCGTGTTGAATGACTCTGACATCTAGAGTGGGGAGGGAAGGATTGGCGCCGCCTCCCTCCCATTCGTACGCACATATGCTTCGCATATCCTTTTGTGCCAAGACGATTGTTTGTTTCGCTTCATTAAGGTAGAAACGTAGGTAATATATCATCATGAACCCTGGAAAAGGGAACATTGCAGAACACTAGCGATGAAAACAAAAGTAGCAATCTGCTTTGAGCCCTACCATATCAAAGAAGGCAAAAGTTGCATCCGTTAGTTACCCAGACCCATCGTACGGCACTGTTCGTTTTGCAGTGACACCAGTCTTCCACCCGAGAAACTGCGATTTTACTAAGACCCCAAGTATATTCTGCACAGCGGGTGTCTACTCGGCGATTAAATGAGTGCCGTAGAATAACCTTCGGACATGCGGCGGCTAGCGACCCTGCGCTCTGTGGGCGAATAATTACTAGTCTAACACAAGTGAAAGCCACGAAAATTGTGACAGTGGACAGATAGTCGACACGTGCTCTCCTGTAGACTTTCAAGAATAGTTCTGAGAACCAAAATGGCTGTCGCCCCGTTTGGTGTGTGAAAAAACATAAGCGACGTGAAGACTATCGTGGTGCAGAAACATGTTGGTTGAAGTGGATCCTGAACACTTGTGACTGAATAAATATTTCTAGATTCCAAGTATGAAAACAATTTTCAGTCTACTTGGTGCCAATCACAAAATAATCACGTATTAACCGTCTACAACTATGCTGTTGGCGCCAAATAAAGGGTAACTAATTAAGGCATTGCCTCGTGAATAGTATTGTGCTCGGGTGCCAGGGGCCACGATATGAGTTTACGAGAGCCTTATTCGGTCTTGTTATTGTGCCTAACGGAAACTATGAATACGGTACTGTGTAAGACTTATTTATTTGACCGATTTATATATAGATCTAATCGTGTCTTGAAGGTGTCGTGAAATTTTAATCAAAACCACCGCTACCGCAGTGTAAGTCATATTCTAGTGTTGCATTTTCATTCCTCCTCGGTAACCTGTTAGCTTGGTGGTCTTCTAATGTCCTTTAACACATGCCTTCTCGTATAAGAAACACCGCATAAAATGGGAAGTCAGTCGCACAAAATATTTCTTGTCCGAAATCGCCTAAAGTTCGTGAAAGTAAAGTTGACGAAATTGAAGCACTTTCTTAGAAGAAAGGCTTATCGCAAGCTGATCGCCCTTTCGTTTCCTATCGTAATTTGCCTGTCGCGTTCCTATATTCCATTAACTTCGCCAGATGTTTGGAAAGTTTTGATTAACGGTCCACACCAACTTTTTTGACTAAGTGGTCGTAAACTTTGGGGCACCATCGAGCGGAATTTGGTGACTGCTGATGTCGCTCTGCAAACTTTTGGAAAAAGAGCACATGCGCAGAGATAGAGGAACGTGTCCATAATTTCTTCTTGGTATCTGTATATACCACATAGAGATTGTATTATAAAAAAAAAGACACGCAAAACTGCTACGTCTCATCTCAGTCTGAGAGAACGCCAAAAGACAATATTAGTTCCTCTGCAGGGATTGAACTAATTTACGTCTCATTATAAATTATTGTAATTTTTGTTTCAGGGGAGTCACTTTCTGCTGAACAGTTGAGAGAGCCTGACTTCTTGTTTGCGGCGTGGAGCTCTGTTGGGAAAACCGGTAGCATTTCGAATCCCCGCTTGCGCATCACCGATTTTAAAGCGGTAAGGGACAAACGTTGACTGTTGTGTGTCTCTTTTCACGTCAAGGTTGATAACCACCCAGCCTCAGTAAGAGGGGAGAAGCATGACTCGTCAGAAGCCATTTGGGATTTGTTACATGGGGACATTGTTCAACCACTCCTCCTACACTGTACAAGCGACTCCATCAAAGATGCAAGCTATGTTCTCTTATGAGTGTAGTGTTAAAATATCAGATTACGCAATGTGTGAAGTCATTTGAGCAGTGCCTTATGCTACGTTGTTGAAATAACACTAAGTTATTGTTTGAGATGTCTTATATTTAAAACTAGCAAGTACATTTGAGAAAATGACTGATAATAGAATTCGTTTTCCGGATACAGGAACTCCAAGATTTTAAGACGCAATTCGTCGAGACAGTTCTCTTTGGTTATCAACACGACATTTTTTTTTCTGCCGATGATGAAGTAATTTGGTCCGTTGCGCTTCATCTTCTTCCCGGGCATACCCGTGGACGTTGAAGCCTCCCCAATTTGAGAATCCCTCCTTTCAAAACTATACTTTTTCTTAGTATGATCTAGGAACCCACTTTAAAATGCGAGTAGTGTTAATAACCATGCTCAATGGTGTTGTTAATTGTTGCCCTACATGTCGATTCCCTGACAGATCAGGCTGCCGAGAAGAAAAAGCATAGAAAATAGGCCATATTAGTTGGGTCTGGTTGTCCACAGGAAAATCCCACATGCTATTGACCTCCAAAAAATTATGGAGCGCGTTGGGCATTTCCGCAGTTACAGAAAACGCCAACGATGTTAAACATTTTCATATGTCAAATGAAAAAAATGTGTGAAGGGTAATTTAGATAGATAAGAAAAACCGTATCCCAAATAGATATCTATAGAGACTAGAATTACTAATCTGAACTGCGGAATTGTTGCCTGTATAGTACTCACTTTGAACGACGTCGAGAGCATGAGGCTTGTTGTACACTGACGGAATATGATAAAGAATAGCTTCCTTGGATCCTCACGTTGAGCACAAGGCATTTGATGACGTTAAGAGCCGCAATGTTTCAATATAATATGACGACCTGGCGCTGCGGAGACTCAAAAACTTGCCAAGAGAGTGAGTACCTGAAAAGTAATAAAGAATAAAGGTTTATAATAAATAATTTGTGTAATGGATCAATTTGAATCTCAGGTCATCTTTAGGTTAAATTCAAATTAGGCTCCTTGTGCAAGGTAGTAAACAGTAACGGCCGCATTCCTCGAGGTAAAAAAAAAACTATAAAAAAAACACGGTTCTGATTTTGCCGAATGCGTCGAAGAAAAAGTCTACTCTATTCCTATGGTATGTGCTGCTCAGTAAAGAAGTCGGCACGAAAAATCGAGGAAATTTGGAAAGATGCTGTGGGTGAGCGAGTAGAACACGCAATTGCGGCCCATATATAATTGTGTTACTCAAGAAAAGAAAGTGTACGGAAAGGAAAAGGCGACGTTTGGGTGGACGCCATGAATGCACCTCTTTAAAATCGCGTTGGGCACGCGCCGCAGCTCAGAGAGCGAATAAACTGGTAGCGTAGCTCCCATCATCGATTGGTAGGGCAGGTAGGTCACTTCCTCGATTTTTAGTTCGTTCATCCAACGCCTGGTGCCGTCGGTATGTGGAAAAGGTCCAGTGACAAGTTGTTGATCACCCACCGTTACTGTCTCGATCACTATCCGCCCAAGTTCCTTTGGCTGCATGGTGGCATTACTGGTCACACCGCGGTCAGGTCGGGTTGTCAGCAGCTGGCTGATCCAGTTTCGCGACCACCTTGCTGCATCGTTTGCACACCACTTGTTTTAGTGGACTCACAATGAATTAAGGTTGTGGACAAAGCAAAAGTGAAGGCCGGTATTACCCTCCGGAAATAATGATAGAGAAAACATTAGCAGCCTTTTTGTGTTTCGGATGTTTATAATATATTAATATTTTGAAAGTATAATGAAAACATTATGCTAAATACGAAAATAATCGCCGGAAAGGGGAAATAAGGCTGGCAAGGGTGAATACAAACCTCCAAACACAGCTGGTTCAGCTAGCTTGCATATTTGCATTTAATGCATTTTCATCATGCTAGAGAGATCGGGGTTAAAACTTCCCTTTAATTTATGAGGCCTCGATATGCTACTTTCACAGATAAAAATATTTTTACTGTCGTGTAAAAATACTGTTATCTGATATCATTCATTCACTTTGGTGAACCATGCACGGCTATTTGGAGTGTATCTTATAATATTGTTAGTATATGCCTTTCTTAACAGACTCAACACGGAAAAAAAAGTTTTTTCGAGTTTACACTTTGGGGAACGCTAAAGGACCTGAACAAGAATACAACACACGGACGTGTTGACATCGATGCAGTAATGGATAAACTTGTGTGGCATGCTGCAAAAGGATCGTTTAAGTTTACTTACAACAAGGTAAGCTCTACATTTTGTGAAAAGAAAACAAAACCGGTTTGCAGTTTTATGTAGTTCTAGCATGTTTTACAGCTTACCTTTTTCGATTACGCAGATGCTTTTTACTAATACTTTTATAAAACACAAAGATAGGTATTTAAGCACAGGGCTTCACGCAGACTGCGAGAAAATTTGATCGATGTTTTCCTTTATTTTTTTTTTCCGCACCGCCACAGATGTGGTCAAAATATATAGACGTAAAACTAATAAATAGTAAATTTTAAACAAAAAAGAAAATTAATGCACACAGAGAAATTTATGCTGCCCGACACCTCGAGCGGTCGAAATGAAGGCATTCTTTTATTATAGTCGTTCCTCTCGATTTTTCTATGAAGTGCTACGAATTTCTGACGCACAAGCATAAAGAATGCAGGAAAATATTGAATCTCTAGAAAGCGACAAGCTGCTTGGAGGGAAACTGAAGCCTGTTTCGTAAAATTTGAGTTAGGAGCGGACTTCTATAGCCATTTGTACATTGAATTTATTTATTGAACTTAAGCAAAAGCAAACCAAAGATATATATATATATATATATATATATTATTTTTTTAAAAATACGTGCGGCGGTTGCCGCATGCCACGCAGGGAGCCTCTCTGCCTCCTGTTAAATGTGCAAAGGTTCATGACGTCATCATTGGCATTCCCGAGCTGCAGCATGGTGGCGAGAAGGGGTCATGCCCCGCCGATAACGTCCCTTTTGCTGGTTTCTCTCTCCGCTCTCGCTCTTTCTTGCGCTCGGCGCTCCAGAACGAGCGGGGCTACGTCGAAAGTTTAATTGGCTATTACGGCGCCCCTGCTCATAAGATCGAGAAAAAACGTAACACAACTTTTAAGATACCTACAATAAAAATTTCCCCTTTTGTGTTTTTTATATAAATGTAAGGACCTCTTCAACTTTCCTTTAATAGAATATGCCAGACAGTCCCTTTTAAAGACTCAGGGAGTCAATTTTATGGCTGTATCAAACATGACCAGATAGTTTGAAATGCACTGTTGAAATGCATCGGCAAGGATATACGGGCTCTAGGGACGTTAATTTTTAGATCACTTTTTCGATGGTCACCTCCTTCGTGAAAAATCTTATTACATAAGAAGTTTCTTCGTCCAATAAACGCATATGATCAAATAAGATAACATAAGAGCATACAAACCGCATAAAAACATACGTATATAAACAACACAAGATCATATAAAGAGTTATAAGAAACTTATCAGTTCGTTTTAACTTATTACATAAGAATATATTGTTTTTATATGTTCTTATATGTTTTTGTGTGCTCTTAAATGATCTTAATTTATACAGCGTTCATCAGACCAGGAAATTTCTTATACATATCAGTTTTTCACTAGGTCTTGTGGTGATGGTGAAAAAAAGCTCGAATTAATATATTAGCAGGTAACGTTTGCTTGGTCCTAAACGACGGTGACGTACGTTGTGAACTGTAGTGGTAGCTAAACTTTGTAGGAATGGATTCCAAGAACGTGTTCTTGCTTAAACATTCGATTGGCCATCTAATGTGCAGTTAAACCAATTATATATTCTAGTGGAAACACGTCCGTTCCTACAAATCGTTCAATCCTCCCTTTCTAAATAAGGCACCTCTCCCTTTGTAAATGGTTTCAAAATGTGTTGAAATTTTAAATAGATGATAAAGTTGATTATATAAAAACTGTTTATTATTTCGGTCGTAAGTGTTGTAACTTTTCCTGCGTCTGAACTGGTTGCTGTATTTGCACTACTACTTTCTCTGCACCAGACCTACGCACGTTGTTTAGGTGGATATTGCGTGAGCGCATAACCTACATGTATTTTAATTAACGTAAAACAAGTTTTGTATCGAATAAATATTATGCGACTATAAAAAGAGCCGCTTACTTATGAAGCTTTTTTTTTTTCAGGAGGAATACACAATTGATAAGGTGTGCTATACCTGAATGTGCAAATAAAGCTGGCTCCTTCTCTTTCGAATTTGTTTATACTGCCGACCAGCGCTGATGCTAGTTCTATAACATTTTCGGAAAAAAAAATTCTACCGTCTTTTGAAATGCTCCGGAAGATACAATTTAGCGAGCATCCATATAGGCGGTCCTGAAAATTGTATCAGAGACAAAAGAAGCGACAAGCCTCTGTGGTATCAAAATAGAATCTTATGAAGGGAGGTGTGTGAGAGGGTCCCAAAAATTTACGCGTAAACTATATAATGCTTAAAGGGACCATAATGACGATTTTGAACTTTTTCAGAAAAAGATGCCTTCCCGCTTTCTAGGGACCTGGCAATATGCTCACCTTTTTAAACAGTTCTATGAAGCTTATCCTTTCCTATAAAATAATTCAACGACACCGAAACTGAAGTTCCACTTTTCTGCCATGCACGCTCTTTCAAAACGGAAGTGACGTCAACAGTGAACAGTCGGTTTCGGTAGGATTTCGAGGTCATCAGCCTAGATGACGCGGTGAGCAGTACCGGGGCTTTGTGGTTTGGGCGCGTTGTAGCGCCCAAAGCACAAAGCGTTGCGACTGCGACTGCGTTGCGCCCAAACCACAAAGCGTTGCGACTGCGAGTAACCAGGACATTCGTACTTCGTCTGCCGCTTGCCAAGCTATCTCCTTCAATGGACCATGTGCCAAACCGAGGCGCCCCTAGCGGATCAGATGCATGAGATAAAACATTTATCAACGAAGATTTTAGTTTTGGTTTCCTTCGTCGGACCGCTGCAAGCCAAAAGCGCAGACCGCAGACCTACACCACGCCTCTCAACGCAGCGTACCTCACCGAGCCTTCGTAGGTTCACCTACGTGTGTATGGGATGCAGTAAGTACAACTCTCTTTTGGTGGATTTATCAGATGGTAACTGATTAAAGACAAAGGCAAGCCGCGCCGCTTCAGCGGAACTAAACCTAATGTCAATCGGCGTAGACTGATATACGTACCGACGTTTTGTGGGTGTTTGTTTCCGACTTCAAGTGACTTCGAGTTGGGCCAGCACCAAGATTACTATCGGGCTTTCACAAAATCTTCCATTTCTGTTTTATCCATCGTTCTTCAGCCATCTTCTTTCATTTTCGTTGCCCCGATTTATCTGGTTACTGGCCAGCGCTACTAGGTGGGCTAAGTTTGGACGCTCGGTAACCGGCGTCATAGCCTCCGCGATTTTTCGCGCGCTGGCTGCGCTCCTCAGGCCGTTGCATTCGCCGCTAGAGACTGTTGCTGTTGGGCGCTTGGTGGCGCTCGCGACCAAACCAGACTAGAGTTCCTGTTGCGCGTCTGTTTTCCACGTGCCGCCGCGCCGCTATTCGCCGAGATCCGATCACGCGAGGAGCCGGATCAAGTGTCGTGCAGGAAAGTAGACGTTGCACGCGCCCCGGCGTGCGTTCCCTTGCTTCTGAGCGCGCCGCGCGCCTCGAACGCGCGGCGCCGCTATTCGCCGAATTCAGTCACGTGACGAGCGGGATCAACATGCCGTGCAGAAAAGACGGCGCTACGGAGATGAACGCGCAACTCTGGCTCCCGTAGGGAGCCTATACACGTTTGCAAGTCCGGCTTCAGGGCGCTGCCATCTTGCCTGTCTGGGGTGCGCTTGGACCAGTCATAATCCGATTACGAAGCCTTGCTAAGGCGTCGTAATCGGATTATGGCCACTCCCAAGAGCGCACCCCACTGAGGAAGATGGCGGCGCCCTGAGACCGCACTTGCAAACGTGTATACAGGAACTCTAAACCAGACAATACAAAGCAATACTCGTAAATTATGATCATCATCATTATCGTCGGACTACGGAAATTAGGATACAGTGTACTAGAATACGGAGAAGTGTTTCGCCCGGCGCGGTTCGGCAGTTGGCGACGTGCGCGATCGAAAGCGTCGCTGTGGTCGGCCTTCCACGATTGGCCGAACGCTGACTATGACGTCAGAAAAGGATTTATCATCGACGAAAATAAGAGGAATGAAAGAATATTAATTTTGACGGTGTTGGCAGTGTTCCTTTGAGAGCGCAATGATTTCAAGCTTCCGCCATGATATATCTACAAACACCATCGAACTCGTTGTTTGCAAGGTAATGACGTCACAAGGGGGAACCGTAGGAGGGCGCCACTAAACATCTCGCCGCTAATGGGTGCTTGTGAGGCTGGGCGTGTAGACTGCAATCGCGGCGCTGCAGTCGACAGGGCAGCAGAAAGTCGCTGCAGTTCGCACGCGCCGTCGCACGTGCTTGTGCACGTGGTGGACGTGCAGAACCATCACCATACTATATTTGTTATGTTATTCGGGAAATTTATAGCTGTTAAAGTAATGCTTCACACAACCTGTAACCATATTAACTATACTGACCATACTGCCGATGCGCCGGTGTCGACAGCTCTCGCGATCGACACAACACGCCTCACGGGAGCCGCTCCGGCCCCATCACCCGTATTCTAGTACACTGTACATAGGAGCAGCGCGAAATGTGCTGCCCGCCTCTCGCCGCAACCCACAGTCCTTTGGCGAAGAAGAAGTTGATCGAAATTTGAAGGTTAATCTTTTCATAGCGAGAAAGGTGTAGAACAAAAGTCCGTGCACGTGAATGAAGTTCATAAATCTGTTCTCATGCATGACGACCAAAATATTTATATGACTGTCAGGACGACCGAGACAGTATCCGTCGAGGACAAATATAGTAGACTCGCACTAAATTTTACATTCTGAGGTATCATCCAGCGAAACAGCGCAAAGACCGGAGCAGCAAATAAAAGTTACTAATCAGCAGTGATCGACTTACCTGTCTCTATTCTGATGATGAGAACAATGAAAATGGAAGCTTGGTGCCGCGCGCTGAAACTTGACAGCGTGCTTTGAGGCAATTCGGTTTCCGTTTCTGCCTTGGTTATAAGCGCCGCATGCGGAGGTCTAGAGAATTGGGTCGGCTCACTTTTTCTGTTGGACAGTTAAGCGTTTGGACAGGCCAGAGCAGAGCGCCCGAAAAATCTCGGAGGCCATGCTGGCGTGACACCATTTCGTGGAGCGCGCGAGCGATGGCGCTGCAGTCGCCCTAGGATCGATTTTCGGCGGTGTCTCGTGCTCGTTGTTCTTTCTGATGTTTTTGCTCGTATCATAGATGGCTCGTCGTAGGCTTGTAAGTGTTCCTTTCGTCTGGGGCTTTAAGTCGTTGGCCAATCAATGAGCAAGCTGCCGACCTGAAGCGCTCCCAGCTGTCACAGCGGGTACGCCACGTAAAGGCCGGTTCACACATGCAGCGAAGCGCTGACGTAGCGCTGCTCACGTGTCGTCAGCTACTTATTGTCTGCCATAAGGAACAGTTTCGACGGTGCGGTGCAAAGCTGGTGAACGCTCCGGTAAGCACGCGCGTAGCGCGAGGTCAGCGCTATGCTTGTAGCGCTCCTCTGCATGTGTGAACAGGCCTTCAGTGTCGAAAAGTGAAACGCAACTTTTTTTACCGTTCCAATCTCCAAAGGTTGCTGCGCGCCTGAAAGTATGGCAGAACGCGATGCCTCAGAAAATGTTCACGCTCACATAATAAAGAAAGTGTGTGCCGTATGCATTTTCAGCTCGACGACATTAATCACCATTACTCGCACGTCATCGGTGTTGAGACGTTTCTGAAGGCCAAGGTCAAATGGTAATCATAGAAAGATGCTGTGGCACGTCTGTTTCTGAATCACCCCGCACATTTATTTAAATCATCCACGAAAAGCAGCAAATGAAAGCAGTCACCGATCAAAGCGTTGCTGAGGCTGCGGCCAATTCCATTACCCCTGATGTGACAATTACATACGAACCCGGAGCAGACGACGATGACAGCAACCAAACAGACACGCGTACCAACGTTTCCAACACCTTTTTCTTTTTGTGCAACAAGCACAGTTTGATTGTTTAGATTAGGTGCTCTATTTGTGCATCCTGTATAAAACCCAAAAGGGCTCCGGCATGCGCACTCACTCTGGTTCATTTGTAGTAGTCCTCAGGGGAGGCAAGGTTGAGACCTCGTGCCTGAATCAGGGGAAGGAGGCAGTGCTGAAGATTTGGGCAATTCCGGAGAATGTGTCGGAGGCCAACTGCGGACGCCCTGGCAGAGAGGTAGGGGCAAGCTGGGCTGGCATCATTGGGGCCCCGGCCCCAGGAGGCCAAGACTGCTGGGGTGACTGCGGAATCCGTCCGGATCCTTGTGAGGAGGACCTCCTTCCGCCGGGGCACCTGTTCCAGAATTTGAGGAACGCAGTCGCCAGTCAAAAATTTGTAGCCTCAAAGGACACCCGATGATGACATAATTTGCTTTAAGTTTTTGAAGAAGCAAGGCACAGTTTCCGTCACATCCAAAGAGGATCTCCCTTTGGTTGTTAGTATGGTCGGAAAGTTGGTGCTAGATGAAAGCCATATAACCTTTTATTTTGAAACGCTACCAGACGGTGCTCCAGTCTTGACGTCCCAGCAAACTTCCGGTTCATATAAAAAATGAACAAAGCCCACCATAACAGCGCTGCTTGATACTTCAATGAAACCTTTAACGACTATAACGAGACTAAACCCTGGAGAAGGGTAACAAGGGGAACAAAAAAGAAATACAAATCTCTAAACACAGCTAAGTGACTGGTGCGCGACTGAAAAAGTCCGCCTGGTCCTGGTATAGAACCAGGACCTCTCCATTTCCAGTGGAGCGCTCTACATTTGCTGATAATCTTTTTTTTTTTTTTTAATATTACGATTGTATTTTGCATCGAACTGATGATTTATGAAAACAATAATCTGTGTTTTTGAACAGATAGTTCGATGTATTAAGTTATTAAATGAAAGGAGCAACACGAAAAGGAAATAACCGCCGATAAAAACGTTCAAAAACAATAAAGCTTTTTTGTGTGTGTGTGTTTGAAATTGGAGTAGCATTGTTAAATTATTTCCTTAGTAATCTTAAAAGAGGGCTGCATGGGTTCGAATCCC